AAATCCCATATCTCTCCCTTTCTCCATACAACCATATTGTTAGAGTGGGCATCAACAATTGGAAGTCAACATAGATAGGTGTTGCTGGTCTGTAGCCACACTAGCTAATACCTTTCCTGTATCTGCCTTAGTTCCCAGGTCCAGGCCTGAGGGCAGTGGGGCTTGGAACGTGACTTTGTATTCATATTCATTGTGCAAAACACAAGACTCAGGAGGACCCAGAAGGGCAGAGAATGGAAGGGCGTGGGGCCCAATGAAATCTTAATTTTAATGGGTCCATAGTCTGGAGACTGTCTATTTAGCAGCATAAGTGGCTTCTTTTGGCCTGGGTGTGGTGAATCCATGGTGTAATAATGCCAGTTACCTTCATAGCCATAGGAGTGGGAGAATCGATGTGTAGAGTCCTTTCCAAGTTGGTTTCAGGGTCCCTTTGGCTCCCTGTCTGATCCAGGCAGAATCACCGGACTGGAACAAGGGAAAACTGGTGGTGGACTCAGAGGTCAGCTGGGTCTCTCAGATGGTTCAATGAGTAGCCTTTATGAAGACTAGAGTGCCTATAGTGACTTGAGAAAGGAATAACTAAAGAGTTTGGCCAGTTGCTGGTCTCTGAGCCTGGGAGGCGGTAGGAGAGGTCATCCAAACAATCTCACATAGGAGTAAATCCCTCCCTACGTGTGGTGCACTGGGCAAAGGAAAGAGACCTGTCCATCCTTTGCTGGACTCTGATGAGAGTTTTATTAGAGATACTTGTAATGTCCTGTGTATTCCTTCTACTTGCCCAGAGCTCTGAGATCTATATGCACAATGAAGCTTTGGCTATTAATTGAGAGGTTTTGGCTATGAAAGCCAGGCCATTGTCAGACCCCATGGCTAGGGGAAGGCCAAATCAGGAGACCAGTTCCTGTAGGAGATTTTAAGCTACTATTTGAGCAGTTTCAGTTTGGACAGGGAATGCTTCTACCTACCCTGAAAAGATATCTTTAAAAACTAGCAAGTACTTTTATCCTCCCCTAGCAGGCCAGAACTTGGTGAAATCGGTTTTTCCAGAGTTTTTGCAGTGGTGTTGGTCTCATTTGGACCTCTTCCTGGGTAAGTGCTCTCTGTTTTGGGTTCACTTGAGCACAAGCTTGGAATCTGGCTGAGACATCCCACACTAGGCTGTGTAGTCCAGGTATATCATACCTTGGTCTGAGCAACCCAGAAAGTTTTGTGGACCCCAGCTGAGTATCCCAATGAAGGTTAGTTACCAGAATCCTGCCAGTTGTTTCTGGGAAAATGATCTTTCCCTCTGGTGTCCTCCATCAACCTGTGGATTTGAGCTATTTCTTCCTTACCATGGAGTCTGAGATATATCATCAGAATATGACAGAACCCACTGGTCTTAGGGCCACTTGTTAGGTGGCCAGGTCAGCAGCCTGACAGTAGACGACAGCGATTTGTAGGGGAAGTCAAATAGGCCAAGATTTTAAAATATTCTTTTTCCAATGGCGAGAAAGCCCTCTTTCTCTATACATCACATCATGAAAATGGCTGGTCGTAAAAGCATACTGACTGACGGTCTGTGTATGTGGTGGTGGACTTTCTTTTTCCCCCATCTGAGAACCTGGGTCAGTTCTGTTCTCAGGGCTGAACTTTCAGACTTGGGCTCAAATTGTTTTATTTAAAGTAACTATTGTAGTTTCTGGTTTTATCTTCCATCTCCTAACAGTCATGGATGAGCATCTGTCACCAGGTAAGAGGGTAGCAGAATTGATGGCAGTGGGTTTCTCAAACTCGAGGGTGGGCCAGGAGTAGGGCCTGGTACTGGGTCACACAGTCATTTGACAGCTAGCATTCTGGTGATCCTCAAGGGCTTCAACCATGTTGTGGGGTGCTGTGAGTAGGAGATCTTGACCCAGAGTTAACTTGTTTGCTTTCTTTCATTGAACTAGAGATCACTGCCACAGCTCTCAGTCAGGTGTGCCATCCTGGGGCTGCAGGGTTCAGTCGTTTGATAAGTATGTCACAGGGCATTTCCATGGCCCCAGAGTTGGGGTTAAAACCCTTTTCATCTTTAGTTTAGTCTCAGTACAGATTGGGGACTTGGTGCTTGTGTGTAGAGGCCTTGCTATTTCCATGAGTTGGTATTCAGAGGCGGCAATATCCTGTTGTGGCTAGGAACTCTCAATCATCTCTTAGTCTTTGGAGTTGGAATCTGAAGGATGACAGCAATCCTATTCTGATACAGGCTCCTTTTTTGAGTCCCCTCAGCTGGTAGCCAAGATAGGTAGCCTCTGATGGACAAAGTTGGGCTTTCTTAGCTGACATTCTGTAGCCCAGGGTCTGCAACTCTGGCAGCAGTTCCTCAGTGGCCCTTCTATAATCTGTTTTCCCAGGAAACCTCTGACTGAAGGGCAGGGTGTCTGCATTTAGTGTCTTTAAATCTTGGGGCAACCTGGTCCAAGTATGTTGCCCACTCTAACCTCCCACTGGGTCTGTCCATTTAAAAGAAAAGATGGGTCAACTCACCTCTGCCAAGGGGAGGCTGAAGAATGTGACTTTCAGGTCCAAGAGAGACCTGAAGAATCTGTTTCTCTGGAAGGATCTGATTCATGAGAATCTGAGGTCCCAGGTTTCTTCACAGGCAAGAGGAGGTGTATTTGGAGACGACTGGCGAGGCACCAGGATGCCTGTCTCTTTAAGCCAGGCAGTATGGATTGCAGTCTCCCCTTTTGTCTAGGGTCATTGGGTGTTATTTAATCTGTAGGGAGGTAGCTGAACAATTCCAGGAGCTTTGTGCTGGAACCAGGCCTGGGGTGGGAGGTTGTCTGTAAGTCTAACTGCATCTCATCATGAGAGGAGGTGACAGTGGCTCTCAGTTTATGTAAACAATCTTGTCTCTGTTGTTAAACACCCGTTAAGCTACCATCTGGGACCTACTTATACCTTCAAAATTTTTTAAACTTTTAAAACTTTTTTCTACTATCTGGGGCTGACTGGGTGACAAAGGAACTGTCTTTAGCAGCTGTCTTTAATCCTTTTAAAAGGACCTAGTGAAGGTCGTTTAAAGTCTCCTTGGTCAGTGTTAGACAGAAGGGAAAATCTGTCCAAGCCATGTTGCCTGGCAGCAATCCCCTGCCCAACCCAGGGTCTTTTTTTTTTTTTTTTTTTTTTGAGAATGATGGCTTTTATGGATCATTGGCTTAAAAGGAGACATAAATTATAAAAGCGAAAGGAGTGGAACTTTTCTTTTCCTTCAGGCTTAGCCCAGGGGACCTTTACCCTTCCTGGGCTGTTTAGAACAGGCACAGAGCACTGCAGAGGGAATGCTCATCTGGGAGAACTACTTCCCCTTCCTGTGTTCATTCTGCTTAGATGGCCAGGACCCTGGATGAGAGGTGTGGCCTCTCCTGACCTCCACACAGGGACCAGCTCTGACCATGAGCAGGAGTGAAGCCATAAGACAGATGCTCTTGGAGTGGGACAGGTGGAGGCTTTGGGGTGTCTATGGATTTGGGTTCCCAATGGGATGAGACACAGGTCTTAAGCCAGGGGTTCTCACACCAGAGAAACAAAACGGACAGAAATTTATAGAAAGACACATCGAGACTCGCATGCACACATAGAGACACAATAAAGACATCCACACGCTGGTCCACCTGAACACACAGAATGGTCCAGTGACATCTCACATAGATCGCGGATGCTGGATCAGCAGTTGCTATCTATATGGACTCGGAAGGCCCCTTAACCAGACTAACCCCGGGGGGTGACAGACCAGGTGACTTTCTAATTTGTTTCTTTCTGGGGTGGAGGTGTCAGACCCCTCTGAAGAGTTATGCAGAAATTGATCAAAGGGAATCTTGGGGACCTGGAACATCTCAGTTGAGCAACACTACAAGTCCCCTGACCATTGCACTCTTCCCTGCTCCATGGGGTTCTGCGATCCCCTGTGTCTCCAGGTCTGATCTCTGGGATCTTGGTGGAACCTCCAGAAATGCTGTGAGGTGTTCACCACAGAAGACTACTCAGACATGGGTTTACATGAATAGAAGTCTTTATTAACCAGTCGGCACCTACACTAGGCGTTTGGCACCCCAGTGTAGCACCGAACCTTTTTTATGAAGAGCTTTTAAGCACAAAATTTATGTTCTGGGTTGACATACTTCAGTTAACAAGAACAGATAGCCAGACATGGAACTACAGAACCTGAAAAACAAGGTTAGTACAATTTGAGACTTTCCCAGAACTATATGAACTTTGCCTGTTTTTGCTATGGAAGGCGGGGCTGTCTACGTGCTGGGATGGGCATTTCTATTCCTGTTAGTCATTTCTGTTCCTGTAAGTCACTCTTCACCCATCTTCCTGTAAGGAACCCCAGTAAAACTCACTGGTTCACCAAGTTGGACTTTTTTTTTAAAAAAAGAAGCATTTCACTGTCTATCTCTGGCTTGCCTGGAATGTGTTATGTAGAAATCTTAAATTGTTCAAGATGAAATACTGCTTATGGGGCTTATTGTTCCTCTGGGTCCTGACTAACCGTGTTAATGCAATGTGGAGCCTGAACCGGTAGTTTCTATAACTGCAATTTGAGTTTTAGTTCCTCAAAAACTTTCTTGATTTCTCATTAAAGGGCTTCCATGGGATTCTTTGCCAAAACAAAAGAATCCGATGGGGAGATAGCCACTCCCAGGATTGACCTAGCTGAAGGAGAGATCTGACCTCCACCACATACCTCCACTGTCTGGCATGTGCACCTCACCACCAGCACATACACAATAAAGAAAATGCAATAAAACTTTTTCAATAAGAAAGAAGAGCGCAGGGGTGGGGTGGGAGAGGACGCTGCTCGGATAATAGAGTTAGTGGAGACTACTGGACGCTGCTCGGATAATAGAAAGTCAGTGGAGACTGCTGGCTCTTGATTATTGCGATATGATTGTAAAGTAGCCCATGCAGCCTGCTCATGTGTATGAGTACTTGTCCAGTTTCTAGTGCTGTTTGGATAGTTTGTGGAACCTTTAAGAGGCAGAGCCTCACTGGAGGAAGTGAGTACTTCCTGGTTTCTAGCCTGGTCCAGCTTCTTACTTGCTTTCTCTGCTTCTTTACTGAGGATGCACTAGGACCAGGAGCCTCCCTCCTTTTACCACACCTTCCTTGTTGTTGGAATTTATGCCTTCAAAGTGTAAGCCACAATGGACCTTTTTTTTTTTCCCTCTAAAGTTGTTTCTATCGGGGTATCTTATTCTAGCAAAGGAGTAATGGAGCTTGTGTTGGCAAACATGAAGTAACTAAGCAAAGCTGCCAAGTCATGGCAAGTTCCTTCTGTAAAGCGAGCCACAGGACCAGCCCTGGTGTCGGGGGTGGGATGGGGAGGGTGGGGGGGTGTTATATACCAGTGATAAGGAGCTTTTCGTTTGTTTTTATTAGGTGTTGTTAAGTGTGATCATTTCCACATGATTGTCAGATGCACCTTTGAATGAAAAGGTGTACTTTACCTTAAAGGGCTGTAATTTAGTAAGGTTTGGTGGCACACACACATAATCCCAACACTCAGGAGACTGAAGCAGGATGATGTTAACTTTGGGTCAAATTTGGGCTTATAACAGGACTCTGTGCCCCAAACAAAATAAAAACAAATGGAACAAAATAAAACCTTCAGTCTGCTGCAGTTTTTGTAGAAATATGGCTAGTAGAAAAAATTCTAAATTAGAAGAAACAGATGAAGGTAGAGTATGTAAAATGTGTTATAAAGAGCGTCTGTTCAACTCTACCCAAAGGTATTAATTGAATACTCTTGTGGGATAATTGAAATGCTGAGAATGCAGTCAAGGATCTGTAGTTTGGTTGTATGTGGTTAGTAAGGTGTTCCTAAGTTTGTGCCTTTGGTTTAAGTAATGATTCATTTTTCAGAAGTTCTGTAAATGGATGAACTTTATATGTGATCTGGATGTTGGGAGAATAGATGAGAGAGGCTGTTGTAGACCACTTTGGTCATTTGCTCCAAATTGTGTTAAATGATGACCTGAAGATCAATGTCATCCGTAAGGAAGGACACAATGAGAACAAAAAGCTCTCAAGTCTAGTAAACCAGATGGCAATGTTCAGGTGAATCATTAGAAATGAGAACCTTATAAATGGAGTTACTTCTGAAATGTCAAAATATGATAATTTATGCCAATGGTTATACAGTGTATTCCACCAACTCCTCAGATAGTCAAAGCACCACAGTCAGTTTCTCATTTATTATAGCCTTACTGAATTAAAAGAATCCTTCTGATGACACAAAAGCAGAATCCACAGTCTCTTTAAAGCAGTTAAGATGGGTTGGCATGGTGGAAAACACCTATTATCCTAGCATTCAAGAAGTGGACAGTTATTGTAGGCTCACTGCATGGTCAGTTCCCATCTCAAATGGACATATAAAGAAACAATAAAACTTCCACATAGGCAGTTTTTTTGTTTTTGTTCCAGCCATGCCTGCTGCATATTTACAGTCCTAAGAAGCTTCTTTTCTTACTAAATGAAATAAAACAACAAAGAATGTGATGTGATAAAGGTCTTGGGCCTGAAACGAGGACCTAAGGGCTTTTATAGTGATCTGGATAAATGGTCTGAAGGTAGTGAGGAAACTTTAATGGTGTGACTAGACCATGGTACATAATGTATTGCCATATCTAAACCTGCTATTTAGAAGCAAAGGGCAATTAATTTGTATGTATGAAAATGCACTTACAGATTTTAGAGTGAAAATGCCCACACTTGAACATTAATGTGTACACTAGTATTATTCATAAAATCTAAAACAGTATAATTAAATCAGATGTTTGGATAAATATAGTTGGATAAATAAGATGACACACATATACAGAAATGTAATATTTAATAAGGGAAATTTAATATGGAAATTTAAGGAGACAGTGTAAATTAGGGACCCATCACTCTCTGCTTCCTGACTGAAGGCACAATTTGACCAGTTACCTCAAGCTTCTGCCATATGATTTCATGCCATAACCACTGTGCCCTGGAACTGTAGTGTAGAGATTTTAGTCTGTGCCCCTCCCTCTGCACGGGGATCTCCAGGGAATGACCAGGGAGCTTCTCAGTGGGAGTGACTCACACTCACTCTTTTCTCACCTAAATTTCACTATAATTCCCACTGGGGACCTTGCATCGCTTCATTCCACCAACACTTACAATGACCTATAGCCTTTGGAGATAGAATAGTTAGCAGACACTCAGTCCCTGCCTGAAGAGCATATGTAGAAGAGTTTAAAAGTCAGGCCAGTCAGGCCGGTTCAGGCATCTCTGATATATAACCTCGAAGGAATCTTTTTCTCTAGATGAATCTTTTTCTTTTCTTTCTTTCTTTCTTTTTTTTTTTTTTTTTTGGTTTTTGATACAGGGTTTCTCTGTATTGTTTTGGAGCCTGTCCTGGAACACACTCGGTAGATCAGGCTGGTCTCGAACTCACAGAGAACTGCCTGCCTCTCCTCCCGAGATCTGTGATTAAAGGCATGCGCCACCAAAGCCTGGCTTAGATGATTCTTTTTAAATTTTTTTACTTATTATTTGATAGTCTTAACTATATGTTAATCTTTCCAAAAACTTATTGACTGCATATATTCTGTGACTTTGTATGTTAAATTCTTTTGGCTATTTTCTTTAAAGCTTTTAAATCTTATTTTAATTTATTCTTTGAGATTTTATATATGTATATAATATATCTTGATCATACACTCCCCTTAGGCCCACTCACATACCCCATACAGGTCCCTTTCCCATCTTCATGTCCCCTTCCTTTTTTTTTTCATATTCAATTGAGTTCAACTAGTGCTATCTGTATGGGGCCATCCTCTGCATTATGGGGAATCTACAACTGGCCACACCTCTGGAAAAAAAAGACTGTCCCACAGCAGTCATAAATTGCCAACAAGCTATTCAACTGGGATGGGATCTTAGGAGCCACTCCCCTGTCTGTGCTAGAATGTTGACTGGTTGATCTTATGAGGTCTGGTGCAGTTAACCATAATTGCTATGAGTTCATGAGTTCACTGTCTACATCATATCAGAAAACAACATTTCACAGCTTTCCCCTCATTCTTTAGCTCTTTTTTTTTCTGTCCTCTCAATCCATGATGTTCTATAAGGTGATGGTGGTAAAGATGTCTCATTGAGGGCTGATAATTCAACATCGACTTATTCTGAGAACTTCGACCAGATGGGAGTCTATGCATGACTTGGGCCCACTGCAGAAGGAACTTCTTTGTCCAAGATTGAGAGCAGAACTAACCTATGGGAATAAATATTAATATTCAGACGGCAGCTTGACAACATAGCCATAGAGCAAAACATCAGCAATAGGTTGCTGCTCTGGTTGGCTTTGGAGGTCAGCTTGACACAGCTTAGAATTGTCTGAGATGCGAATCTCAACTGAGGAAATTGAAGGAACAGATTGCCCTGTAGAGATGTCTGTGAGATGTTGTCTTGATTGTTAATTAATGTCAGAGGGCCCAGCCAGCCCACTTTGGGCTGTTTCATCCCTAAGCAGGCAGCCACGAATTATCTAAGAAGGCTGGCTGATTATAAGCTGGTCTGTGAACCTTCTAGCAAGCAGCATCCTACACAGTCTATGCTACACTTCTTTGCCTGTGAAGTGAGTTCCTAGTTGGAGGTAATGATGTGTGGAATAGCCAGAAGACCTGTCTTCATGTTTCTCCTGCCTTGACTTCTCTCAATGATGGACTGTGACCTGGACTTCAATGCTAAAAATAAACCTTTCTTCTCTAAGTTGCTTTTGACTTTTGGTCATAGAATTCATCACAACCTCATTAATGAGACATAATTAGAGCAGATTCCCCCTAGGGTATTCTGCCTGGTGATGTTGAGGCACACCTTCAATTCCAGCACTCAGGAGGCATGGCTCTGCAAGTAAAGGTAACCTGTCTGCAAGTCTGACAACCTGAGTATGACCCATGGGATACACTTGGTAGGAAGAGAGACCTGACTCATACAAGTTGTCCTCTGACATCCACACAGTTGCCATGCATGAGTGTTTGCACACACACACACACACACACACACACACACACACACACACACACTTTCAAAATGTAATAAAAAAGAATGCATTAAGTTACCTGGCATTTGGGAGACTGAGGAGGATTACGAGTTCGAGGCTATATAGCCAGGGTAAGCTCAGTGGTACCAGTCCTCTGTTAAAGAGCTGGTTTGTGCTTTCTTGTTTTTTATTCCTGTTTTAGAAGAAATTAAAAATTAAGCTATCAAAGGGGAAAGGACACCAATGTACATTTAAGATACTCTTAAAGGATATTTGTTTATTATTCTTTTTAGGAGGGGTTCGAGACATTTTTTTCCTCTATGTAGCCCTGACTGTCCTGGAACTCATTCTATAGTCCAGAGGTCTGGCTGCCTCTGCTCCCAAGTGCTGGGACTAAAGGCGTGCACTACCACAATTGGCTGTCACAGAGAATATTTAAAGTCTCTTGCTTACTGTTACAAACTAGTGATGAAAAGTTTCAATTTGATTCAACTAGGAAGCACTGCTCCATTGTGTGCATGAATTGGAATTGTTTGAGATTGAATTGAAAGTTTCAGTTAACCAGATAACCATTAGGAGGGGCTGGTTAGCTGAGAAAAACAAGACCTAAAAGTGACAAAATTCGTAGGATTTACTTGGGTTACTCTTAGTAACCACAACTTACAAAATTAATGTACTAGATACCACATTGAGATAAAGTTGAACAAAATTTGCCTAGGTTTCTTGATTCATGGAGAAATCACATATCATGTTTGAAATTTTTGGCAAACCTCTGTTTTCAGAGTTACTGGGGCTTGATGGGCAGGTGTTTGGAGAGGAGTTAATTTATATGTGGGTTGGGAACTACTTACCCATTGTCCAGTGGGTTCAGATGGAGCCACACATCCTCAGTTCCAAGCAAGTATCTTGTGGGTCTACTGGAGCCTCTTGTGAAGGACCACAACTGCCACCCCAGATGGCCACTGGGAGTTGAACTAGAAGTCATCAAGACTTCTGACAGGTCTTTTCTCTTGGGAAGTCAGTTCTCGGTTTGTAAGCAGACTTTCATTCCTGTTACAGATAGATACAAATTCTGATGTGTGAGATCCCCATTGTAGGAAGCCACCTGAGGAAGAAGCAGGACCCTGACCATACTGAAGGTACAGGACCCCACATAACCATTAGCCAGAGCCAGTGAGTGACATTCATCAGAACCCTAAAAACATGTGTGCACTGACGCAGCGATTTTGAGGAAATTCATCCTGAGGAAATGTAAAAGCTTGGGGAAAAGACTTTGTTTTGTTTGCATATTGGAATGTTTGTGTATGAAGAGAAAATGGTAGTAGCCTAAATGCTCTGTTGTAGGGGAGTAATTAGCCATTAAGGGGTGTTATAGAAATAAACAACAACAAAACAAACAAAAACAAAAGCACTGCATGGAAAAGGGATTGTCGTGCAAAGCTGAGTTCAGTCCCTGGATCCCACTGCGGAAGGAGGTTGGAGAAAAGAAACCCCCAGCTTCCACAGGAACACTGAGGCATGGCGTGCCCACACTCACAAATCACAAATATGCACACCAAGTGTTCAGGGAAAATTGAGGTTCCCTTTTTGGTTCTTAGTCTTGTGAATTAAAACACAATCAGAAGGAAGCCCATGGATCATTTTATGAGAGTTTCAGAGGAAAACAATGGGGCAGGCAAGCTATCAATCATGGCAGCTGCCAGAAGACGAGAAATGGAGACGAGGAAAGAAAGTTACATCCAAGAACTCAGACAGATTCAGCAATGGAGCTCAACAAGCTGCTGCACGGATTAGGAGTGGAGGTCTTCAGAGACCTCCCCAAAAGCAAAGTCTAAAGCGTCGGGAGCCTGTGCTTAAGCTTTTGGTCATAATCCAAACAATGAAATAGAAAAAAGGATAAGTTACAGCTTTAAAGAATTTTATTTATTACTTATTTTTATGCATATGGGTGTTTTGTCTGCATGTATATTTGTGCAACCAGGTGTAAGCCTGGTGCCCATGGAGTCTAGAAGAGGGTGATAGATCCCCCTGAAACTGGAGTTACAGACTATTGTGAGCTGCCACAGGGATTCTGGGAATGGGACCCAGATCCTTTGGAAGAACATCCAGTGCTTGTAACCACTGAGCCCCCAAAGCTACAGCTTTTGAGTTAGAACTGAGAAAATTGGGCAGGCTTAACAGTAAGACATGGTGGAAGCTCTGTCAATAACAACATTACCCTTTGAGGAGATAATTATCCCTCCATCTTTTTAGCATATCTTCAGGTGAATCAGATTTCCTGTGCAACAGTCTCTTGATTTGGGTGATTGACAAGCCTGTTGGACTAGCTCTTAAAGAAGGAGACAGTAATATGAAATGCTTCAATCTTTAGAGCAGATCAGAATGTCAGTAAGGGCAGGCAAGTGCAAAAGGAAGAACTCAGATAAGGGAGTAAAAAATACAGTTTGCTCAAGCACTGGTTGCAATGCTATCTCTAGTAGCTGGCTAAACAATGTGTAAGTAGTAGTGGGAAAATAGAAACAGTTTCTCTTGAAGGGAACACAGAGTCTTGTGTCTCTGTCTACTATTGCTCACCTTTCTAGTTCCTGTGATGCCCATGGCCATGCTGGCTGAATTAGCTGGGGGGGGGGGTAAGGGGGGTTGGGAGGTAGGAGGTAGGGAGTACTCAATTTCTTTTTTTTTAATTTTATTTTCCAGTTTAAATTTAGATAAGAAACAAGGTTGCTTCACAAGTCAGTTCCAGGTCCCTCTCCCATTCCCTCCCTCCCTCCCGAGCCCTCCCCCCCCATTATCCCCTCATTTCCCCAGGGAGGGTGAGGCCCTCCATGGGGGTGTCCATAGTCTGTCATTTCATATAGGGCAGGGCCTAGACCCTTCCCCAAGAGTTCAGGGTGAGAGTGCACCTCACATTGTTCTATGGGAGTCCAAAGTCCGTGTGTATACTTGGGATGGGTACTGATCTGCTGCCCAAGGCTCAATAGATTCCCTAGGCCTCCTCACTGACACCCACATTCAGGGGGTGGGAGTACTCAATTTCTAACACCCATCCTAGCCACTGAAACAGCTAAGGGCTTGGTTAACCCAAGCTTGATAGCCAAAATAGAGAACTTGGGCTCAATCCCTAAAACCTACTCCAGTACATTGCAGATGCATATTTGCTAATTGGACAATGTAATTTTTTTTTTCGAGACAGGGTTTCTCTGTATTGTTTTAGAGGCTGTCCTGGAGTTCGCTCTGTAGACCAGGCTGGCCTTGAACTCAAAGAGATCCGCCTGCCTCTGCCTCTCGAGTGCTGGAATTAAAGGCGTGTGCCACCAACGCCTGGCTGACAATGTAATTTTTAACCAAGAGAAAAATAGTTCATCAAATAAATTCTGTATCACTCACAACAATGACTATGTTTCTGAGTCAGAAGAATAGGGAATGGGATGGAGGAGGAGGGTCCAGAGATTAACATGAAAGGTAGCAAGAATGGAAGACCGAAGCCCCTCACCACCTGGGCTTCATTCAACCAAGAGAGCATGCTGATGAGGAGCTAGCTTTGTAAGAACCCTGGAAAAGGCAGATGCTATGTAGTGACATGTCATGCAGAGCTTTACCCGTCCTCTCCTGGGTCCAGGTCATGGTACAGCCTGGCATCATCTTAGCTGATCAGAATCTCTCCTTTAATAAAGTATCTCTTTGCATGGAACTGTCCATGTGCTCCATTGTAAAGAGGTATAAGAACGTGGGGACCCCAGTGGCTGCCTGCCAGACTCAGATCCTTGCTTGCAACAGTGGGGCATCTGGAATTTGTAAGCAAGGGGCCAGTGAAACTACCAAACTAGATCACTGGTGGGTAGAAAGAAAGGGTTATTTGGGAAATCAAACTGCCAGGTGTTCTCCCAGAGGACAGAGAACAGCAGCATGGGAAAAACCTTGCCAATTTTAAGGGGACAGGTTGTAATGAGAGGAAAGGCGTGGGCCAGAATAGCCTGGGAGTTGTGCTGGCTGTTTGGGTGATCAGGAACTAGATGCCCTTGACTCAGGTAGTTGACTGTTGTGGCCAGGTGGATAAGGGAAATAGTGATTTTTCTGGTAAACAGAAACCTGTCTTTTGAGATTCCTGAGGAATGCTGAGTTTGGACTTCTGTTTACTCAATAACCTTCTGTTTACCTGGCCAAAGTCCTGTCTGGGTTAGGACATTGTTACTTGCATTAACTACTGTTTTGCTGTCTGCTTTGAACCTAACAGAGTTTAGATGCACAGCACTAAACATGACAAGTGTGTTTACAACACACAACAATTTTAAAGAACTGAGTAATTTTATCTCTTGTCTTCACCAGGCTATGGAATTTTGTGTATGTTTTCCTCTAATGTGCATGGTAAATATATGCCCATGTCACAATGATTTCATAATTAACATTTGGGACAGGTCTTGGTGATGCAAACCTGTACAGCATTCGGTAGCCTGAAGTGGTCTGGGTTGGGTGTTCCAAGAGGCTCTTGGCCTCTTAAAACAACTGAGAATAAGGGCTGTCAGATTTTTAAAAGAAGCAAAATAACTGTCCTGAGCAAAGTGATATTATAGATTTAAAGAGGGATACATTGTCAGATTGACAAGTGGCCAAGTGAGTGAGAGTATTGCAGGCCCTCATTATTGTTTGGAGGCTTCCATTCCTAGGGTTGAAGGAAAGGAGGAGTTTGCTTACTGTTGTGAGAATGGGTCTCTATTTTGGCAGACAGGCTTAAACTAACCAAGCCTTTAGTCCCTGAGCATGCCCTTTCCCATAATTCACCTGACTTTCTTTTTATGCATATTAATTATACATAATTTCTATTAACATTTGCTTGAGGACATAGTTTTACTTTCCTGCACATGTGCCCCAAATCAGTTCAGGCGAGATCTACCTGTTTATTCTTCCTTCCTAATACATTGGTATACACTTGACTAGAGATTGTCTAAACTTGATGGTTGCCAGGATGAGAGGTGAGAATAGCCCAGTGCAGGCTGGAGTCTGAAGGAGGGACGTGTGTGTAGTACATACAGGTTATTACAAGAGAAAGATGCGCATAGCCCAAACCCAATAGGGTTCCAGGCTAAATCATCTCTTATGATGCCTGCCTCCCCCACAAGTTCTAGGCTAGCATGGGATCCATAGCATGAGTCTATCTCAGAATAGCAAGCAAAAAAAATGGAAGCCTTTATAAATGGAACTGGTCTATATGGTCTGTTTGTCTTGTTCATTGTTGGTCCTCATGGTCTAGCCCACTTGTTTGACACACAAGCAGACACAGCGATCATTTCTTGAGTAAGCGGGTGAATACTGGTGTTTTAGAATTTTCCAGAAATCTCCCTTTTTTGTCTTGACAATCCAGGTGTTTTTTTCAATATCTTCTGTTTTCCTTAAAAGCTGAGAACATGATCCGTAGTGAAATTTTGTATTACCTTTGGTTGTGTGGGTCAGTGGGCATGAGTGTGTGTATCACCATGTGGAGGGAGTCAGAGGACAGCTTGTGGGCGTCAGCTCTCTCCTTCCACCGTGTGGGTCCAGGGATTGGCTGCAAGTGTCTTTACTCACTGAGTCACCTCATGGGCCCTGGGTTCAGGCTTTTTATAATAAAGACTATCACTGTCACCACCATTTGCTTTCCTTTTCCTTCTAGAAAATGGCTGCTCATGGGAAGGCCTCTGAGGAGCGAATTTCTGTGTTTGACCATGACTTTCTCTCTGAGCTCTCTGCTCTTCTCGGTGTGGATGCTGGTCAGATCATCAAGAGACAAGAAGAAGAAGACCACAAAGAACGAATGAAGATGAAGAAAGGTTTTAACTCACAGATGCGCAGTGAAGCCAAACGATTACAGACCTTTCTGACCTGTGACACATTCAGATCATGGACGCCACAGGAGCTGGCAGCCGCTGGGTTTTACCTTACCGGGGTGAAACTTGGGGTTCAGTGCTTCTGCTGTAGCCTAATCCTCTTCGGTACCAGCCTCAGGAATCTTCCCATAGAAAGCCACAAGAGATTGCGTCCTGAATGTGAGTTCCTGTTGGGCAAAGACGTTGGTAACATTGGCAAGTATGAGGTAAGGGTGAAGAGTCCAGAGAAGCTGAGAGGTGGCAAAGCAAGGTACCAAGAGGAGGAGGCCAGACTGGAGTCCTTTGAGAGCTGGCCGTTTTACGCCCATGGGACACCGCCACGTGTGCTCTCAGCAGCTGGCTTTGTCTTCACAGGTAACCGGGTTACATCTTGGGAGGAGCTTGTGTGAAATGTAAAGTTTAGTTTCATGTTTTGATTTGTGATATATGTCAATTATTAACTTGCATTAGCTATATATGTCTATTTCATCAAAATTCAACAACTAGTATAGCATTATTAGCTTGCCTTGTATGTATAAAATAAAAGGTTACTTTTCTTTAAACTCGGACGTTAGAAAATATTGCTGTGGCCTGAGGGTATAGCTTGGTGCTAGACTGCTTAGCTAGTGTGTGCAGGGCCTTGGGATACGACCATGTAAGATGATTACGGGTGGAGGGTGGAGGCCCAGTGCTCAGAAGGAGGTCACTTATGGAGGTGGATTCTGGGTGTAGATTCAGCCAGAGAAGGTTGGTACAGTATGATCATCTCCAAGGTCACACCTGGTGCCATTGCTGGCCAGTCAGAATGCTTCACTGCATCTGCAGGTAAAAAGGACACCGTGCAGTGTTTCTCCTGTGGTGGATGCTTGGGAAACTGGGAAGAAGGAGATGACCCTTGGAAGGAGCATGCCAAGTGGTTCCCCAAGTAAGTGAATACATATCTTATGCTTAAAAAATTCAGTTTTTAAAAAATCAAAATGAAACTAGAGACAAATGAGCCATATTGCTGGAGTATTCCCTTGAATTCCGATCTTTCCCTTATTCAGTATAGGATCACCCAGGATTTTTCAAGCAGAGGTCACAGTGATAAAGTTTGAATTACATGAAGGTACAGGTGCATCTTTATGAGTTCCAGGACAGCCAGGGCTGTTACATAGAGAAGCCCTGTCTCAAAAAACAAAAAGAGAGTTATTTTTCTTTCATTTAAAAATATTTTTGGTGTGTGTGTGTGTGTGTGTGCATGTGTGTATAGTGTAAGTGTATGCACATATGTGGACTGCAGGTTGACTTAGCATGTCTTCCTTTTCATTCTCTGCCTAGTTTGAGACAGGAACACTGAACCTGTATCATAGATTGGCTAGACTAGCTGGCTAGTGAGCGAGCCCCTAGGACCTGCCTGTCTCTGCTGTCCCAGGGTTACTAAAGACATGTGTGACCACCTTGATGTTCACACTGGGAATTCAAAGTCTAGATCCCCATGCTTGTGCTGAGGAGTTTTGCCTACTAAGTCATCTCTCTATTATCCCCAAAACTAAGATAATGTCAAGCAGCACTTGCAGGATTTACTTTAACTACTAAATGAGTTAATCTACACAAGGGTGGAAATGGTATACAAATGAAAGAAAATAAGAATTTTAAAGCTTTACAGGCGCTTTCACACACTGCATAATATGTACCAAATGAAATGCTTACTGGATGCAGTGCATACACCTGCAATCCCAGCAGTAGGAAGAGGGGGCCTGGAGAATCAGGAGTTCAAAGCCACCCTCTGCTAAAAGATGAGAGGACTAGATACCTAGGTTCCCCACATCCCAGTGCCACCAGAGAAAAAAAGTGTTGTTTCTGAGATTCAAGGTTTTTGTTATTGCAATATGGCAGTGGTCTTTAGATCACTGCTTATAAAAAGTATAATTATTTTTAGTGGTCTGTTTAGTATTGGTTTTATTAATTTTTGTTACTAATAATGTTTTATTCCTTTCACTGGCTCTCAAACTTTCATAATGGAATAACTCATAGAAATAAAAGGAGCACTTGTCAGTACCTGGTCAGTAAATGTTTCATCTATCTCCTACCACTATTTTTCATGGAATAACAATAACCAGGTTAATTCAAAGTGAATTCCAGGGACCTCACAATGTCATTAGCTGTTACTATTATAGCACATAAGACTTTAAAAACAAGCGGAACTACAGCATCATTATGTCCCTAGAGAAAGATACTGCCTAGTGTCAAATATCTCAATCACATTCAAATGCTCATGTCCCTTCATCTCTTAATCTTTTTTACACATTTTGGTGTGAGGCTTGGGGGTTGCTGATCATATGCCATGATGTATGTGTGGAGGTCAGAAGATGGATCTGCCGGTGTGGGCCCCAAGTATCAAACTGAGGTCATCCGTCAGTCTTCTTAGGAAGCACATTGCCCTCTTAGCTGTCTTGCCAGTCCAGAGTCAGAGATTTAATTTTTCCTCATATTTTAAAAAAGTTACTTAATCTGGCCTGTATAATGTACTACACTTTATGGTTGGCTGAATGTTTTTGTTTATTTGTTTGTTTTTGGCAGTGAGAAGGGCTTCCATTTTATTTTATAGACGCAGTCCTCTTATATATCCTAGGCTGACCTCAACTTGACCATTTTCTTGTATCCACCTCTGACATCTAGGATTGTGGGTGTGCACTGAGGGGCCTGGAAGATTTTTTATTTTCTTTCCAAACATTTGTAATCTACTACTGTGTACAGTAGATGCTTGATCACCCACAAACCAAGTAGGCAAGTATTTGTAAGGCACCTTGCACACAGACAGCCGTATCTCACAGAAATTAAGGCTGACGTTTCAAGGCTAATGTTTAAATGGAAACATAAATATGCACAATTCATGTAGGGTGAGCAGCCTTTCAGAAATGCTTCAACTATATAGCTACCTGCTAGGAAATATACAGAAAAAGCTCCGAGACAATAGAAATCAAAGAGACTTATATTGTTTCATTGTATATTGGGCTTGGGTTTGCTGAGCAGTGAGGTGGCAAGAAAATTCCACATTTTACTTTCTTCACTTAAATTATTTGGAAACGATGTCTGAAAGAAAGTAAGAGAAGAGATTAGGAGGAGGAGAGGATGAAGAGGAAAGAAAAAAGCAGGTGAAGGCAGGGCAGAAGGAGGGAGAACAGTCCCCTGGAAGCCAGCGATGCGGTTGCAGGGATGATGGGCCATGATTGATTAGCAGATCATAGGATGCCACTATGGCTCCTTGGGAGTTGGCAGTGTACAGTGCCTGCTTGTCCTCAGAGCCTGCTGTTTAGTGTTGCTGGCTACACTCTGGACAACTGCCAGGCATGTCAGTCACAAGTAATCATGTGATCAGTCCTAGCTAGAGCTGCACATCTGCCTCCAGTCTGCCCCTTCTCTGACACAGAGCAGCAGGAACATGACCCACACAGGAAGAGGAGACAATCCAGAGACTGGCCCCATGGCTTGGATGAGTGAGACCTGCTTACACAAGAAGTTCCAGATAGAGATGGACTGGAGCAGGCTTGCCCATGCAGGCTGCCTGCCTTCAGTCCTGAAATGAGTGAGGCACTGATCCTCTTAGAACCTTGAATGTAAGATGCAGATAATAATGCATAGCTTGTGGGTCTTGAGAAACCTACCATGCAGGACACATAGTGACTGATGGATCTCCCATTTGTTTGTCAGCATGAGCACAGCACATCAGAACTCAGTCTCCAAATTTCGTGTTTTATTCATCCTTAGTTTCTTAGACTTAAATTTTAAACACTGGCTTGGTCACTTCTTTTATGAAATATTGGCAAAACATCTGAATATTTTCTTACACATTTTAAAATGTGAGTAATAAATGTAAACTGATTTTAGTATAGTTTTAGGTTTTGATAAACGGACTTGCTATATATCTCAGACTGGCATCAAACTCACAATCGGCCTTTCTCTGACTCCCAAGTTCTGGGATTGCGGTTTGTATCATCAAGCCTGGCAATTGCAATAGTTTTGAAAATACCATTTGATAAAATAATGTTGCGGTGGGAATGATGGTGCTTGCCTGTAATCCCAGACCTTGAGAGCTGGAGGTAAGAGGATCAGGAACTCAAGGTTTTTTATCTTTGCTATCCGGATAGCCTAAGGCGAGCCTATGATGAGATCCTATCTCAAAAGAAAATAAAAGTACTGAAATATTTCGAAAGCAAATCGACATATTATAATATTTTTAAAGGATCAATAACCTCAATTCACTGTAGTTCACCCCAGGTCCTTCTTGCTACATGGGTTACATTCAGGCATAGAGCAATACATGGAAAGCTATGAAAAATGGAGCCAGGACTCCTGGCTGCCACGGACGTCGAATGGAAGCCCTTGAGACTTCTTGAGTCAGTGATAGAGTTCATCTTCTCATTTGATTAGGAGGGCACAGGGTATTTCATCACCCCCATTGACAAAAGAACTCTCAGTCCACTCCTTACCACACCATCAGAAAGAAACGTCAGTGTCAGGAATATTGTTTAACTTCAAAGTAACTTTGTTTTTATGGGAAAGGAATGCCTTTCAGGAGAATGTTCAATATGTTATAAAAAATGAAAATTAATAATACCTGTTACTTCAAAAAGATCTTTTTGTTTAGTAGGTGAAATGTTACACCAAATTTTCCTATTTTCTCTTTACTGTCACTGACTGATCTGACCACAGGAACTAGGCTTACCCACTCAGAAAGGCAAAGTTTTCCCCACCTTGTTTACTGTGTACCAGTCTCTTGGATAGCTTGTCTTGCACATTTTGTTTAAGAAGATGACAGCAGCAGAGTGCTGTGGTGTGTGCTCACGGCCAAAGCAGAAGATTGTTTCAGGCCAGAGATTATCATTAGCTGGACAACAAAGAAACACCTCATTATAAAATAAAAGTAAAAGTAATCTGAGTGTTCAATTTTAAGTAGCCACATGTGTTGTCACTAATGTAAATAAAAAACAATGGTGACTCTCTTGAGTAAGGTTTGGGGTGACTTTTTAAATACAATATATTTTGATTATGTTCCCCCCTCCAGTCCCTCTCAGATCTTACACACACACACACACACACCCCAAAGCAAATAAAAAACTAGTAAGACAAAAAAGCAAAGACAAAAGCAAAAACAAAACAAAACCCCCAAATGAAACAGATGTCCATAAAAATATAATGGAGTTCATTTTTGTGCTAGCCAACAATTCCTGGGCCTGGGGCCTGTCCCGGAGTGTGGTTGTTGTACCCAGTGACATTCTTTTGGAGGAAACTGAGTTTCTCCTTATCATCAGATATCAATTGCACACAGCTTCTTGGTTAAGGGTTGGACCCTGTGTCTGCTTCCCCTTTCAGTCCTGGTCCCCATCTGGTTTGTACCCGGGCAGGACTTGTGCCTACTATTGAGGCAAATTTTTTGACAGTTTTACTGATGTACAAAGTCCAGTAGTTCAATAGTTTTTATCAAATGCTCATTGTGATTTAGAACATCTCTATTTATTGGGATACATTTTAATTATAGGTGTGAATTTCTTCGAAGTAAGAAATCCTCAGAGGAAATTGCCCAGTATATTAAAAGCTACGAGGGATTTGTCCATGTAACGGTAATTCACAACAGCAAACTCTATCCAATAGTGAATGTCCATTGAGGATTTTTATTTTTACATGGACTCATTCTCCTGCCTCTCATCTGCACAGTGGAGGCACAACAATCTTGCTAACCTGGAACAAGGTAGACGTGGTTTTCAGGCTGGCTTTGGAGGCGTCTGCTGCCTTCTTCCCTCTGAGCCGACTTCCTTCTTCCTCCATCCTCCTTCTTCTGACTGTGCCCACTGCCCTGGCATCCTTCTGCTGCCTCCCTCTGGATGCCCAACTCAGTCTTCTGCCCTAGGACCTGGAGAGACCAGGGTTTCCTAAAGTGGTGGGAAACCTAGTCTCAACAGAAGCCAAGGGAGAGTGTAATGGCTGTTGCCTCAGAAGCAGAGTCTGCAGAGCGCGGGCTGAAATCTGGGTGCAGTTTTCTCAGAGGGAGAGTTGCTCAGTTGGGAAGGTCCTTCTGAGGTCGGGTCTCAGTTCCCCACGAGTCAAAATGCATCTTTGTGTGTGACTGCAGTTCTCTTGCTGAGCTGCGCGTCTGGTAAGAGCGACCCCTAGAAAGTTCCCGTTTGCCACATGTAAACATTCACAGAAGTTTGCTACTGCGTAAAAATCCCCCAAATCAATAGAAATCAACGTGGAGGAGTGCTTTGCCATCAATTCTGCTGCTCTAATGAGACCTCACTTTGGGGTGGGGGGAGTCCTTCAACTGCAGGTCACACATAGGAGTATATTTTATAAATGAATCAGTAACCTGGATTTCTTCCCCTCAGGGAGAACATTTTGTGAATTCCTGGGTCAGAAGAGAATTACCTATGGTGTCAGGTAAAACCTCAGGCACGTTCCAAAGGCTCTGGTCATTCCTTCCTTCCTTCCTTCCTTCCTTCCTTCCTTCCTTCCTTCCTTCCTTCCTTCCCTCCCCCCCTCCCTCCCTCCCTCCCTCCCTCCTTCCTTCCCTCCCTCCCTCCCTCCCTCCTTCCTTTCTTCCTTCCCTCCCTCCCTTCCTTCCTTCCTTCCTTCCTTCCTTCCCTCCCTCCCTCCTTCCTTCCTTCCTTCCCTCCCTCCCTCCTTCCTTCCTTCCCTCCCTCCCTCCTTCCTTCCTTCCTTCCCTCCCTCCCTCCTTCCTTCCTTCCTTCCCTCCCTCCCTCCTTCCTTCCTTCCTTCCTTCCCTCCTTCCTTCCCTCCCTCCCTCCTTCCTTCCTTCCTTCCCTCCCTCCCTCCTTCCTTCCTTCCTTCCCTCCCTCCCTCCTTCCTTCCTTCCTTCTTTCCCTCCTTCCTTCCCTCCCTCCCTCCTTCCTTCCTTCCTTCTTTCCCTCCTTCCTCCCTTCCTTCCTTCCCTCCCTCCCTGCCTCCCTCCCTCCTTCCTTCCCTCCCTCCCTCCTTCCTTCCTTCCTTCCTTCCCTCCCTCCCTCCCTCCTTCCCTCCCTCCTTCCTTTCTTCCTTCCCTCCCTCCCTCCCTCCCTCCCTCCTTCCTTCCTTCCTTCCCTCCCTCCCTCCTTCCTTCCTTCCCTCCTTCCTTCCCTCCCTCCCTCCTTCCTTCCTTCCTTCTTTCCCTCCTTCCTTCCTTCCCTCCCTCCCTGCCTCCCCCCTTCCTTCCTTCCTTCCCTCCCTCCCTCCTTCCTTCCTTCCTTCCTTCTTTCCCTCCTTCCTCCCTTCCTTCCTTCCCTCCCTCCCTGCCTCCCTCCCTCCTTCCTTCCTTTCTTCCTTCCCTCCCTCCCTCCCTCCTTCCTTCCCTCCCTCCCTCCCTCCTTCCCTCCCTCCTTCCTTTCTTCCTTCCCTCCCTCCCTCCTTCCTTCCTTCCTTCTTTCCCTCCTTCCTTCCTTCCTTCCCTTTTTCTTTTCTTCTTTTTTTGTGCACTCTCTCATTTTTAGCCTGTTCATCTTTCCCCTTAAAATTTTTTTCATGTGATTTCTGCTTTTATGGGATGACTCAGTTAAATTTTTTTTGTGCTGATAGTGTGTGAGGGGGAATGCTAACCACGTGGGCATGTAGAATAACTGATTTATTTATTTTCATGTTAGAGGGGTTTTAGGTGTGTTTGTATGTACGTGGGCACCCTGGAGTGTGGGTGTGGAGGATTTCTTTGGGGATTTGGTTCTCTCCTTCTGTCAATACAAAAAACACAAGTCTCACCTTATAGGGGTGTCTTCAGCTATCATAGTCAGCAACAAAACTGACTGAGGTGTTGTGGAATATTAGTTTAAGATGTGCTACATTCATTTATGCTGTGGAATATTTGCTTAATGATGCAAAGATGTGTTGCATCTTTTATGTTACATTTGTTTAACACTCTGTAAAGCTGTAGTACTTTGCCTGCCTAAAACACCTGATAGGTCTAATGAATGTCCAATAGCCAGGCAGGAGAGGGATAGGTGGGGCTGGTATGCAGAGAGGATAAACAGGAGGAGAAATCTGGGCTTGAGAGGAGAGAGAGGGGTGAGAAAAAAGAGAAGAGAAGAAGGACACTAGGGGCCAGCCACTGAGCTACCCGGCCAACCACTGGCTAAGAAGGAAAGAATACAGAGTAGAGAAAGGTAAAACGCCCAGAGGCAAAATGTAGTTGAGAGAAAGGGAATCATTTAAGTTAGAAAAGCTGGCTAGAAACAACCCAAACTAAGTCCAGGCATTCATAAGTAAGAATAAGTCTCTGTGTATTTACTTGAGAGATGGGTGGTGGGCCCTCAAAAAGTAAAAGCAAACAAACAAAAAGAACAACACAACTACAGTGAGGTCAGAAATGAAATTCAGGTCAGCACAACGTAACTGGCTTCGACCCAGCATCAGTTAAGCCCCAGACCCATGGGATGGCAAAAGTTTTTTCCCTGAGTGAGGCTCAGAGGAGTGGGAGAGCCTTATGGTCTAGTGTGAACATTTACAGTGTGTGTAAGTATAGGTGTTTACGAATGATGGAGCAGTGTGTGTAAGAACTAGCTTTCTCCTCCCTGATGCTTACAGCCGGAGACTACTGTCCTACACAGACAGCCTATGAAGACTACTTAACCCCACCCCTGAGATGTATATCATAAACTCACTTAACCCCTCCCCTGTGATGTATATAATAAACTCACTTAACCCCTGCCCTTGATGTATATAATAAACTCACTTAACCCCTCCCCTGAGATGTATATAATAAACTTACTTAATCCCTCCCCTGTTGTTGCTGGGTTTCTTTCCAGCCTGGTCCTACAGCCAATTAACCCCAAATAAGTACATGGACGCTATATTAATTATAAAACTGTTGACTGATGGTGAGGGCTTCTTACTGGCTATCTCTGTTTTAATTATTAACTCATAACTACAAATTTATGTATTTCTACATGGCATTATTTTACCAGAGAACACCTGGCACGTCCTATCTTCCCGATGTCTACATGGCATCTCCTGTTGGCCTCTCTCTGCCTTCCTCTCACCAGCCTTCTCCTGGTCTGGTAGCCCCGCCTATCCTTCCTGTCTTTACTGGCCAATCATATTCATCAACCAATAAGAGAAACATATATACAGGAGAACATCCCCCATTTTACCCTGTGATGTATGTAATGAACTCACTTAGCCCCTCCCCTGTGATATATATAATGAATTCACTTAGCCCCTCCCCTGTGATGTATATAATAAACTCACTTAGCCCCTCCCCTGTGATGTATATAATAAACTCACAGAGGTTCCGGGTTGTTACATAGTTGGTGCTTGCTCCATCAGATTAAGTACAGCCTGCCCAATCCTAGCTTTTCTGTACACATGTCTTTCATTTCTTTTCACTGTTATTTCTTCATCCCTTGTCACTGCAGTCAGGGTCAGGTCCAAAGGTGCACAGGGCGCAGTGCCTGGCAATACTGGAATAGTCTATTTTCACACAGCACCTTTGTGTCATTGCAAACAACCAAGTTAAGGGCTGGATTCTTGCAGAAAGGATTAATGTGTGTATTGAGTATTTTAAAAGCTAATACAGGCACATTTCTGGATGCTCATGGCCAGCCTGGTCTACATATCAAGTTCCAGGCTGGCCAAAGCTACATAAAAAGACCCTGTTTTCACAAACCACAAACAAACCAAAACAAACTAACAAGGGCTGGGGGTAACAAAGGCCTTTCGAGAACAAAGACCTGAGTTCTACCCCTAGAATCCATGTGTAAAAGGGGCTAACTGTGGCAGTATGGGCTTGTGACCTCAGCCCTGGGGAGACAGACATGTCAACCTCTGGGCATCCACAGCCAGACAGCCTGCTTCGTAAGTTCAAGGCAAATAACAGTGAAGGTTGTCCTCTGGCCTCCACTTGTACGTGCCCACAATGCACATGTACCTACACACATACATGTACCTGCACACACACGAACCATACACATACACACATGTGGGCTGGGAGTGAAGGAGGACCTTAGGGCAGGATGTACTTCTTGAAGTGGGCATTGAAAAATGGTCAGAGAAAGGAAGCCATAGAGAACCTGAAGCCAGCCTGCTCCTCCCAGAGAACACACAGTGTGGCACCAGGGAGCTATTCTCTATTACTCTATGGTTTAATAGAAGTAAAAAGTGAAATAAAATAAAGGCCTCTAGACTATAAAAGTATTTTGTTAGTCGAATTGATTGCTTCTCATAATCTTTTGTGCTTTTCTAACTACCTTCAATTTGTTTGACGTAAGCACAGAACATTAGACCATCCACCCATACACACAGCTAACTTGAACTTTGTGATCAAAGCCTGCTGGTCTCACCTGCATCTTTTTTTCTCTCTTCCACCAACTCCCAAGCTTACTGCAATGACAGCGTCTTCGCTAATGAAGAACTAAGGCTGGACACTTTTAAGGACTGGCCCCAAGAATCACCTGTGGCTGTTGAGGCTATGGTCAGAGCGGGCCTGTTCTACACAGGTGAGTCAGGATTTATGTTCACCACATGTGCTGGGCCAGACTGCATTTATCTCCACCCAGCAGTCTCCACTCTCCATCATTCCTCACAGATCCCTTTGCTGCCCCATAAGACCTTCAGTTTCCTGTGCTCCCTTGGTGCTCAGCCTCCAAACTTGAAACCTGAGGTCTGGGCTGACAGTGAGTGCAGTAGTCTGTTTGGGAAAATTATCATGTCTTTTTGTCTCTATACCTTTCTTTCTCTTGTGTCTTGCTTCCAATGCCCCAGAAGTTTCCAGAAACTGGCACAAGACAATTGTGCTCATGTTTCTTTTTGTTACGTGTGTTTGTGAGTGTGGTGTGTGTGTGTACAGGTAGGCAGAGGATAGCAGAAGGACTTGAATATCCTGCTCTATTACCTTCTGCCTTATTCTCTTGAGGCAGGGTCTCACTGAACAGAGTCAGGCGGTAGCTGGCCAGATCCAGTGATCTTCCTGTTCAATCACTGCGGAATGGGTGTGTGATTGGCCTCATTTAGTTTTTCATGTAGATGCCAAGATTTGAACTCAGGTTCTTATGTTGGCACAGCAAGTCCTCGTACCCAGGGATTCATCTCTCCAGCTCCCTTGTATTTCTTTTACCAGAACTTAGATGGCCATATCTGCCTCTGAGAATGGATGAGAAATCAGTATTTTCCTTGGGTGACAATATGCCCGGTTAAGAATTGAAGTTTTGCCGGGTGGTGGTGGCGCACGCCTTTAATCCCAGCACTTGGGAGGCAGAGGCAGGTGGATCTCTGTGAGTTCGAGGTGGCAGGACCGACAGCCTCCAAAACAATACAGAGAAACCCTGTCTTGTAAAAACCAAAAAAAAAAAAAAAGAATTGAAGTTTCTAGGGTCTGGGTAGTCAGTAAGGTGCTTGCTGTGTGAGTGTCAAGACCTGGATTTATATTCCCAGCACCTATGTAAAAAGCCTGGTGTGATGGTACATGCCTATGATCCCAGCTCTGGGTTGCAAAGACAGGTGGATCCACAGAGCTCACTTGTCTTGCTGAATCAGTGAGTTCCAAGTTCATTGAGAGACCTTACCTCTAAAAACAAGGTGGAGAATGATAGAGGAAGGTGGCTGACATTGACCTCTGGGTTGTATGCATGTGCAGTGTGTAGTACATGTATGTACGTGTGAGCACACACACTCTCAAACACACACACACTCCCACGCTCACACACAATTTGGAATTTCTATTGCTAACGAAGAATGGGAGAAAGTAGGATATGAATCACTGTTTTCACAATACAGTGCTCATAGGAGAAATCCTTGCAAATTCATTTCCTTAGTTTTAAACCATGATGGATCTTCCATAGTTCCTGGTCTCTCTTTAGCTGCTGCCCATCAGTAATTCACAAAGCTAGTTCCCCTCAGCTGGGTCACTGGCCAAAGTTCTAGGAGAGAATGAAGAAAATCTACAGTACCCTCCCTGGCTATCTTGTTAGCATTCCTCCGATCAAATGCACTTCTGAGCTGAGATGGAGTTTTGTGTAACACTATTACTGTGATTACATAATATTGCAAGTTTGTCAGAGCAGGTCAGGCACTTTACCTAACAAATGTATGAATGGCATGAATGGTTTCTTTACCTCAGCTTTAACCCTTTGTCTCGTCTTTATTGTCTCTTCCTGCCAGCCTTCCTCAGGTCTCATGGGCGATGTGCTCCTATTTGCAGTGAAATAGACCTGGCAATAATGTGGGCAGAGACAAGTAATTCCACATGATCTCACCTACGGAGAACCCCTAACTTTGCTCCTGTGTTTCTTCACCTGCAATCTTCATATATTCTTTTTCATTTATTCCTTAAGCAAATGCTTATTGATTGCCTACGTCTGTGAGGTCCCACCATGTCATCAGACAGAGTCTCTGCTCCCATGGAATTTCTAGTCTTTGAAAGTCTCTAGGAATGACAGGGCTGAGATGATCAAAACACAGAAGGCCCAGCGAGTGTTGCTGACCCCCACATTGAAGAACCAAGAGTCCTGTGTGAACTGTTGCTCCCTGGTGACCTGTGCCTGACTTTGCCACACAATCCAATTGGGATGCAAATAGGGTTTTACTATGGAAATCTTAAGTTATTATCTGTTTGTGAGTTGACAGGTATATGTCAGAGTAACACTGACCACATTTTCTTACTTCTAGGCATAAGGGATGTTGTCCAGTGTTTTTCTTGTGGCGGATTTATGGAACAGTGGAAGGAAGGTGATGACCCATTAGAAGATCACACCAGGTTCTATCCCAAGTGAGCAAGATGAATTCCCTGAACTTTGAATGTACTTAGGTAGTTATTCCCTCCCAGCTCCCCAGCCTGCTTTATCTGTGGGCTTTATCTGTCCACACCTCTGATTCCCACTGTGAAGGACACAAATTTTATCCCTGTTTCCTTCTTCCCATGACATCCTCCCTGTCTAGCTTTTCTCTCATAGTTAGACTTGGTTTTTACTGGGTCAATATATATATATATGTATATATATATATATATATATTTAAATAAGCATCTTGCTATATAGCCCACACCACACCAAACTTTTTAAATAGCCTGGGTTGGGTTTGAACTCAAGATCTTCCTTCATCAGCCTCCAAAGTGGTGAGCACCCATGGTGTGCCTGACAGTCTCACACTGTTTTGATTCCTTTGATTAGAAACTCTTTTCCCACTCCTGTTTCTTCTAGAAGCTTTTAGAATTTCCTATTTCCAACATCTAAGCTTTCTGTGATTTCCTTTTCTCAGTGCTGGGTATGAAACCAGTGAGCTGGGGACACTGGGCAAGACCTTTACTACTGAGCTACGCTTACCCCCTGTCTGTGACTCTCCAAGTTTATTTTTACTCATTTTCTACACATGAAAAACTCTCTAGAAATGCCCAATTCCAAGAAGAATTTTGTTGTTTTCACTAAGTAATTACCAAGAATTTTTCCAGAAGTAAATATCTGTCCTGACCCGCAGGACACTCAACATGGGTCTGGTGGACACCTAGGAGAAAGATGGAGGACAGGGGATACAGGAATGGACGCCAAGACAGGATTCTGATCAAGGCGACAATTTTATTTCATCCCAAAGGGATTTATATAGGAGAACTGAGGAGGGGAAGGGGGAAGGTGTACTTGCAGCTGCAGGGGCAAGAGGTCAGTGGAAGAGGTGGTCTGCTGTGTTGCCTGGCTACCTAATCTACAGGGCAAGAGGTCAGGGGTAGGAACTCCTATGTTGCTTGGTAACCTATCTATTACAATTTACTACTGCTCAGGCCTATCTTCTGAGGACCTTGTAGTTTTCCAATTAAGCCAATCTTTAACTGACAGGTAAACCGCAGGCTTGTTACTTGGAATTTGCTTTATGTCAGAAGGGGTGGCAGGGTGGTCTTAGTGTCACGTCTTTTCTATGAGTACGTGATAGAGCCTAGCTGACTGATGGCTGGAGGCCCCGACAAATATCAATATGTGCAGTGTTAAAAGTGAGTGTTTTGGTTGGCGCGGTGGTGCATACCTGTAGTCCCAGTCTCAGAAGCTGAAGGGAGAACAATGGGAGGTTTCATTTTAGATGAAATACTTTAGTATGCTTGATTTTAAAATCAGTTTATTTTTAAAACCAAGCAGTTATAAGTTAAGAAAGAAAAATCACAATTGAAGATCTCTTTGGGTGTGGCGGCTCTTTGCAGGCTGGAAGAGCTGAAGCTGCATTGGAGTGTTCTCTGCTTAGTTCCACAGGTGTCCTTTGTGCATTCAAAGCAAATTTGTACTACATTATCTTGGTGTTAGAAGAGTTTAAGTCTGATTTGTTTAACTTTTAAAAACAATTACATTTATGAGATAAAATGGTGATAATAGGACAAATCCTTAGAAATATCTTTTAAAGTATGTTTGATAGTATATATTAATTTTCAGTAGCAGTAGGTTTCATTATGACACTTTATACACAGACACAGTGTATTTCAATTTTGTTTGCCACCCCCTCCTGTTACCCTCTCTTGTCCTCCTCTCACTCCCATTAATCTCTCTGCTTGGGGTCATGTATTGGAGACCAGCTGGGACTCCATAGTGAGGTCCTGTCTCAGTTTGTAACTAGCTAACTAAAACTATTTCCTTCTCATTGTGAGTTTTGAAGATGCTTGAGAGTAGACCTCACTTTTGCTTTTTATTTGGATGTAGTAGGTAGTAAAATTTGAGTATAGGGCCTTCTTAATCCTTGGGCTGATAAGTTAAAATGCAATCTAGTTATACTTAAAACTTTTTTTAAGTCTATCAACCAATTTTTTATGTGATTTTGTTTGGTCCTTCTACTACTTTTTATTTAAATTACCAACTGTTTTTGTGTGACTACTCAGAATATTTACATGGATGGAGAAATGTCTCCCATAGGCTGGCATATCTGAACACTAGGTCCCTAGTTTGTGGCATTGCTTGGGAAGGTTATAGAGCTTTTAGGCAGAGGAGCCATGCTGGAGGAAGCAAGTCCATGGAAGTGTACTTTGAATGTTTATAGCTTTACAACACTTTCAGGTAGCCTTCCGTTTCCTGTGTTTAGTTGACTTATTTTTTTAATTGGGGGGGGCACAGGTGGCCACCAAATAAACACATGGAGACTTATTCTTACTTATGAATGCCTGGCTTTAGCTTGGCTTGTTTTTAGCCAACTTTTCTAACTTGTGCTCAAGAACTCACATGGAACCTGGATGTGGTGGCACATGCCTTTAATCCCGCCACTTGAGAGGCAGAGGCAGGCGGATCTCTTGTGAGTCAGAGGCCAGCCTGGTCTACAGAGCGAGACACTGTCTCAAAGCAACAACAAGAAAACCTCACATGGCTGTGGCTGCCTACAAACTATCATCCAGTCAACATTTCAGCCTGGTTGAGGAAGGACTCCCCAAGACCTTCCCCTTTCTGGGGAACTGCTGGCTTTTGATGGCTCTCAGGGCAGGGAGAGTTAGTCTAATGCTAATATGCCTTTCTCTAAGATACAGAAGAAAATATGGAATCTCAGTTGTTTTGAGGTACATTCCCACTAGCACAGATGAGTTTACACTGGTCTGAATCCTCTTCAACTTGACATTGTCCAAATTTTAGTTTTTAGTAGCCTAATTACTAATGATATTAATGTCTTTTCATATTTTTTACACTTTTTTATTCTTTTTCGTCATCAGTACACTTTAACAATATTTTGCCCTTTGATTTATCATCATTAGAAAATATATGAAATTTCCTCCTTTATCTTTGACAATAGTCTCTATTCTTTTTTTTTTTTTGGTGTTTTTGATACAGGGTTTTTCTGTATTGTTTTGGAGGCTGGCCTCGAACTCACAGAGATCTGCCTGCCTTTGCCTCCCAATTGCTGGGATTAAAAGCCTGTGCCACCAACGCCCGGCAATATTCTCTATTCTTAAAAGAAAAAAATGACATAAGGCCTCACTATGCACCACTACTGGTTGGTCTGGAACTCACTAGTAGACTAGATTTGACTTGAACTCACAGAGATCTGCCTCCTGAGTGCTGGGATTAAAGGCATGTGCCAACATGCCTGACCCTTTAAATTTTTTTATTACATTTTATTTATTTATGTTCTCTGTGCCATATGTATGTGAGTAAGCATGTGTACCATGGTGGATATATGGTGGTCAGAGAACCACATGCAGGAGTCTGTCGTCTTCTTCCACTGTGTGAACTCAGGTCATCAGATCTATCAGTAAATGCTACTGTGTCATCTCAGAAGCTCTGCTATTCCTTATTCTTAAGTATTATTTGATATGAATATAGCCACTCCAGATTTTCTAGTATTAGTTTTTAAAAATCTTTCTTCATGTACACACATGTGTTTTATGTATTTACTCATGTAACATGCACAGGTATGGGAAGGCACATATTAACAGACTGAGCTATATTTTTGGGTATTTTCCTCTATTGATCCCTATCTTATTTATTTTTTAAAGATTTATTTTAGTGTGTGTGTGTGTGCTCGCGCGCGCGTGCGCACACATGCATGTCTGTGTGCACCTTGTGTGCTGGTGGAGGTCAGAGGAAGATGTGGAATGCCCTCCATCACTCAGCATCTTACTCTCATGAGTCTCTACTGACCTGGAGCTAGGGTAGAGTCCATCAGTGCTGTGTGGGAGCAGAGGAAGCCTTGAGTGAAAGTATATTATTGACATCTGCATGGCCATATCAAGGACATCAATGTCTCAGACCAGTGAGAGTGGCAAAGCCTTGTCCTGGAGTGTGGAGGATGGTGACAGTTTGTTAGTGTGTGCAGAATGCACCCCCGATGCTTCTTCCTACCTGATGTTCACAGCCAGAGACTGCTTCCCTTCAGAGACATCCCACAGAGACTAGCTAACCACTCCTCCTCTTCCCTATGCTGTACATAATAAAGGGGCTGAGTTTCTGAGTTGAGTAGATGCCCTCCAGAATAAGCGTACCCACTAGATCCCAGCTTTTATGTATCTGTGTCATTTCTTCAGTATCTGTCATTTCTTCACCCCTCTGTGACCTCACTTAGGTTTCTAGGACCAAGCCATTTGACAGTGAAGGCTTACTAGTTTTGAGTCTCTAAGTTCATTTGATCTGCTTGCATAGACAGACATTAACTATATGCATTCATTTCACCATGCTCTCTGCATATAATCACCATCACTTTACAAACCACATGCACTAAGCTGTGGAAAGTCAAAGTGTGAGTATCTTCTCTTTCCTAAGACAGGGTTTCTCTGTGTAGTTCTGGCTGTCCTGGAACTCGCTCTGTAGACCAGGCTGGCCATGAACTCACAGAGATCTGCCTGCCTCTGCCTCCCGAGTACTGGGACTAAAAGCATGTGCCACTAACACCTAGCTGTACTTCGTTCTTAGTTCTGTGTCTATGTTAAAAACCGAATACAAATGCTTACTTGCATGGGACCATTTTGTGACTTTTATCTTCTCCGCTTAGCTGTGTCTTTCTCCAATACCTGAAGTCCTCTGCAGAAGTGACTCCAGCCCTTCAGAGCCAATGCGAAATTCCGGAAGCCATGGTAATGGACACCACCCCTTCTGTGCTGGGCAGTGCATGATCCTGTAGTTGAATACTGTTTTGAACAGCAGTTGCCCCTTGCCAATATAGAATTAAATAAACTGCAAATATTTGCTAAGAAACTACCATCTGATAGCTGTAGATGGTGTTTCACAGTAAACAGAAGACACATATCTAGCTCTATGAAATGCACAATCCCTTCTCCTACTGGAATTCTTCAGATTCTTTCAAGCTTAGACTTGACTGACATCTGAGCTAAATGGATCCAACTCTGTGATCTTTAGACTGTAAGCTTGACTTCCTCCTTGGTGTTTAGAGATCTTTGAGGTATATTTCATTTTGTTTACTTAGTGTTTTGCTTGAGACAGTTTCTTAGTATGAGGTCTAGGCTGACCTTGAACTTGCTATGTACCCCAAATGGCCTAGAATTTATGATCCTCCTGTGTTACCTTTCCAAGTGTTAGGATTGTAAGCCTGTTTGCCAACATAAACAGCTGTATTTTTATTATTGTTTTGCTTTATTTCTTGCAGTACTTGAGATCAAATTCAGGCAAGGACTTTGTAAATGACCTACATCACTGGCCTATAGATGTGTTTCTGTCACAAAAACAATGCCTAGTGAAATTGTACTTAAGATAATAGTTTGAACCCTAAGTTTCTCAGGGATACAAACTATCATTTGAGTAGTCATACACTTCCTCACTTGAAGGTAGTATAGTAGTGTACTATGTTTGTCATCCCCCAAAAGAAACAAAGCTTGGCATAATGTCCCATGCCTGCAATCCAGGAATCTCAAGACTGAACCTGAGGGTGCCATGAGTTCAAAGCTAGCCATACGTTTAAGGCCACACTTAAATATGAGCCTCCTTCTCTGGGGGAGGGCCTAGGCCTTGCCCTGGATGAAATGACAGACTCTGGAGATCCTCCATGGAGGGCCTCACCCTCCCTGGGGACCAGAGTGGAGATTGGGTGGGGGACTGGGGGGTCTGGTAGGAAGGCGGGGAGGGAGGGGAGGAAGAGGGAGCTGGGATTGACATGTGAAACAAACTTGTTTCTAACTTAAAATTTAAAAAGGGAAAAAAAAAACAGCAAAACAAAAATAGGGGCAGAAAACAAAAGGGGAAATAACTGGGGTTCAATTGGCTAATCTCTTGTATCTGTAAATTTAAATCCACATTGCAATCACAGGATATGTAGCTCAACTGGCAAAATGTTTACCCAGTGTATGTGAAGTCCTGTGTATATCCTCAGCACTGATCAAGCAGGAATACCTGGGATCATAGTGGGAGATGGAGGAAGAGAGATCTCAAGTTCAAAGTCCTGGTCAGGCACATACTAAGTTTGAGGCCAGTCTAGGGTAAACAAAACTCGGTCTCAGAACAGATACAAAAATTGAAAGCAGTTGAAGCCAGGTGTTATAATTTATGCCTCCAATCCTAACACTTAGAAAAAAGAGGAGCACCCTAGTCTGTATTAAATCTTGTCTCTAAGAAGAGAACACGAAACACTGTATGTGTTCATGCATGTATAATAGCCTTTCTCCACCGAAGTATGTAGTTATTACATATGTAGTTACTAATAACCAAGGATAGAGGGAATACTTAATGATTTTAGCAGGACCATTCTTGTTCTACACCTTATTATTTTGATTACCCACATAGCATCACCTGTAGACAGGATGTATGGACCACATTGTACCATCTGGGAACACACTCTTGCAGATGTGTGAAATTTTTCTTTTCTTTCTAGAGCACTCCTTCCTTCAACCAGCACTGAGTGTAGGCTGTGTTTAGAAGATGTTGGGTTTTGATTGATTATATTATCAGTGACAATATAATCTTTATTTAAGACCAAGTTTTGATTTAATGATGGGTTTCTCTTTCACAGGACACCACAGGGGGAAGCAGTCGTGAGGATGCAGGGGCATTTCTCTCCACCGTGGCTGGTGAGAACTTGAAAGCAACATGGGATTATGTGTATTTTTACGTAGCTCCTTGAAAGGAAAGAGTGTTTATAGTTGTCCAAGGAGCTCCTAGAGAGGAGAGCGCTGGAATGGAGGGTTCTGTGGACAACAGAGTGTCAGCATTCCTGTGACATCTTGAGAATGAATGCAGGACTAATGACAGCAGTCCTGGTGTCAGATCCAAACCTGCCAGTATTAAAAGCATCATGCAGCAAGCTCGTCTCCTGAGATCTTAAATGGGAAATTGGGGTGCCAGAGTACTCTTAAGAAGCACACATTATGTCTGAACCCCAGGTCAAATCTGAGACGTGGACACATGATCCCACGTTCTGATTCTATGAAAAGGTCTGAGAGGATCTCAAGGGAGAACATGAACATTAGAGGAAAGTCCTGATTCATCCATAGCAGACAGGCAGAACAGTGTAACAAACCCACCACAGCCTTGGCATTGAGAGGTTTGCTGCATTTCCTTCTTTTCCCCACAGATGTTGCTCCAAGCGAAGCCCAGGGATGTGAACGTCCACCCAGAGGTGCCTGCGTCCTCTCCACAGAGCTGGATCAGCGTGAGGCCCAGTGGCTTCAAGAGGCCAAGAGTCTGAGTGAGCAGCTGAGAGCAGCCTACACCAAAGCCGCTTTCCGCCACATAAATTTTCCAGAGGTGTGTTCCAGCCTAGGCACTGACCACTTGCTTGGCTGTGATCTGTCCATCGTCTCAAAGCACATCAGCAGGCCAGTGCAAGAGGCCTTGACGCTTCCTGAGATCTTCACCAACCTCAACTCTGTCCTGTGTGTGGAGGGGGAAACTGGCAGTGGGAAGACCACCTTCCTGAAGAAAACAGCCTTTCTCTGGGCATCGGGATGCTGCCCCCTGCTGAACAGGTTCCAGCTGGTCTTCTACATCTCCCTGCGTTCCAGCAGACCAGACCAGGGCCTGGCCAGCATCATCGGTGCCCAGCTCCTCGAGACAGGAGCGAGAGTTAGTGAGGTGTGTCTGAGTGACAGCATCCGGCAGTTGAAGCACCAGGTGCTCTTCCTGGTGGACGACTACAGTGGGATGGAGTCACTGCCCCAAGCCATAGAAACCCTGATTACAAAGAACTACTTGTCACAGACCTGCTTGTTGATCGCTGTCCATACCAACAGGGCCAGGACCATCCGCCCATACCTAGACACGATTCTAGAGATCAGAGAGTTTCCCTTCTACAACACTATCTCTGTATTGCGGAAGATATTTTTCCATAAAATTTCACGTCTCCTGGAGTTTATGGTTTACTTTGGAATGAATAAAGATTTACAGGGAATTCACAAAACCCCCCTCTTTATGGCAGCAGTCTGTACAGACTGGATTCAAAATCCTTCTGACCAGTCCTTTCATGATGTGGCCGTTTTCAAGTCCTATATGAAATACCTTTCCTTAAAGCACGAGGCTGCAGCTGAGCGTCTCAAGGCCACTGTGTCCTCATGTGGCCAGCTGGCCTTGACAGGGCTTTTCTCATCTTGCTTTGAGTTCAGTAGTGAGGACCTCACAGAAGCAGGAGTTGATGAAGATGAAGATCTGACCACCTGCTTCATGAGCAAATTCACCGCCCAGAGACTGAGCCCAGTCTATCGCTTCTTGAGTCCTTTGTTCCAAGAATTTCTTGCTGCCATGAGGCTGACTGAACTCCTGGGTTCAGAAAGAGACGAAGACCAAGATCTGGGGCTTGATTATTTGAGACAAGTTAACTCACCCTTGAAGGCTTTAAACTCCTATAACAATTTTTTGAAGTATGCCTCCAGCCACCCTTCACCAAAGGCAGGGCCAAAAATTGTGTCTCACTTGCTTCAGTTGGTGAGTGATAAAGAGTCACTGGAGAACTTGTCTGAAAATGAGGATTATGGGATGCTCCATTCAAAAACTTCCTGCATGATACAGTTAATTAAGGAAATGTGGCAGGTATCTCCTGAAGCTTTCTCTTTGTTCATTTCAGAACATCTACTGAATGTTGCTCTAAAGTTTGCTTATGAAAGCAATGTGGTTGCTGCATGCTCTCCATTTATCTTGCAATTCCTTCGAGGAAGAACACTGGCTTTGAAAGTACTGAATTTACAGTACTTTGGGGACCACCCAGAAAGCCTGCAACTGTTGAGGAGTGTACAAGTCTCCATAAATGGAAATAAAATGCTACCCAGAGTAGGTTACTCAGTCATGGAAAAATGTTTTGAAAACTTACAGCCACCAACAATAGATGAGGACTATGCATCTACCTTTGAACATATGAAGGAATGGGAGAAAAACTTAGCTAAAAATGAAGACAACTTGAGGAATTTTATGAATAACCAGCCCCAGTGTCTACCCAACATCAGTGCTGGGTACTGGAAACTGTCACCCAGGCAGTACAAGATCCCTAGGCTGGAAGTTGGAGTGGTCAACATGGGTCCAGCAGACCAAGCACTGCTCCAGGTCCTAATGGAAATCTTCTCGGCATCGCAGGATATCGAACTCCGTTTGACACACAGCAGTGACTTTCTTGAAAGCATCCGTCCTGCTCTGGAGCTGCATAAAACCTCTGTCACCAAGTGCTCCCTGTGCAGACTGAGGCTCAGTGCAGCCGAACAGCAGCTGCTTCTCACCCTGCCTGCCTTGCGGTCTCTTGAGGTCTCAGGGACAAAGCAGTTGCCAGGTATCCCTGAGTGTCACACAGCCATTCTGGTTGACACTGTTTTCTCGTTCTTAGTTTTAGATGAATGAAGCGTCTCAGGGACAAGGTCATAAATGTGTCCTGATAGAAGAGATCTGAACACGTTCACTGTCTGGGCAGTGGACAAATCAGTGAAAGGTACCAAATCATAGGATGGGTTTGAAGTAACTCAGGAAAGCTAGGAAAACGTTACCATCAGTATTTCATCTCTCAAGGTCGTTAGTAAGGGAGGGTCAATCGCTTGTTATTGGTAAATGATGGCCTGTGTGTAAGATGATGCTGGAGAGTCATCTGCACCCTGACTGCCTGAAAGAGGAGGGGGTTTAGCTTCTCCAGAATTGACTTTTTAAAATGGGTAAATAATATTTTGCCTTCTTTTAAGCTGGTGGCAGTTCTCAACCTGTGGGTCACGACCCCTTGAGGGGGTTGAATGGCCCTTTCACAGGGGTCATCTAAGAGTATTGGAAATATCAGATTTTTACATTACAGTTCATAACAGTAGCAAAATTAGAGTTATGAAGTAGCAACAAAAATAATTTTATGGTTGGGGGGTCACCGCAACATGAGGAACTGTATTAAAAGGTTGGCATTAGGAAGGTTGAGAACCACTGCTCAAAAATGTTTGCTTTTTTAAAATAGACTTTATCTTATAATGATTTATTTAAAATAGCATTTCAGTGTGTGTGTGTGTATTTCTCCATGCGCATGTATATATGGATTTTCTTCATTATTCTGTTGGCCTTATGTTTGTGTTTTCCTGGGTATCACTCAGGTGTTTATGCTCTTTAAGTTCTTTCTTTTTAAGATTATTGAGCTGTGTCACCTTTAAGAAGTGTCATCATAAACAAATATCATCTCAAATTCTCCATAAACTTCTTTGGTGAAGTTTATTGTTGTTATTTTAACTGTGTCTTGGGATTCATTTAGGTCAATCTTGTTGACAGACATTTCTACAGGACCTGTAGCTTGGTGAGGGGGAGGGGACAGACTACTGCCTTGAACTTTCAATGCTCATATTTTTGTAATGAGACTTCTTTGGTTAGTTCTGTGCCTGATAAAATAGAGCAGGTTAGGCGAAAGAGAAGATGTGTGAGTTGAATTGAGCCTGACGTTGGATATGGCTTATGTGGACCCAGGAAACTGGGCTGGTGTGAAATATGTTCTGTCTGGTTCAAGATTAGAATTGGGGGTGTATGTGGGAGTTGAGGTGGATATGAGGAGGGGAGCATTAGGCAGACTCACCCAGCTAGTCCCAGAAGAAGGATATGTAGAACCTGGCTGTGAAGAGAGGATGCATGTGGTGTGTGAGTAGCCTGAAGGTTGGGGGCAGGGAGGGAGGCAGAGTGGGTCATGGCAGAAGCCTAGACGTTAGTATTGGCAAAGGTGGGGTGGCTAGACTAGGCCCAGGAGTTGGATGTGGGGCCCAGGCTATATCGAGGGGCGTGGGAATGGATGGGTAGAGGGAAGGATGTCAGACTTTGTTGGTACTAGTCCTTGGAAAAGAATATGCAGGATCTGGTTTGGTACAGAGGTTCTGAGTTACATTTTTATATAAGTTGGAATTGAACTTTGTTCTTTTGCATATGCAAAACCAGATGTCCTCACAGTGTTGGTTGGGGAGACATCTTATATTTGGTGAGTCTAGAGAGCAGCACAGTGCTTTCCCTGTACTCTGTGACCAGGAGATGATGCAGATGGTGGGATCTTCATGGATGTGCTTCCTAAACAGATGCTAGCATCTCTGAGAAGTTTCCTTATGAAAATATCTAAGAATGACAGCACACTCCTCCCACATGGGTCTCTTGAGTGATGGATACTGTGTGCTGCTTTCCAGATCAACTCTTCGCTAACTTGGACAAGTTCCCAAACCTGCGAGAACTGTCTGTGAGACTAGATGGCATACCCGATGTGCTGTCTGTCTTCCCTGGAGACCTCCCAAACCTCCACCACATGGAGAAGCTATCCATCCAAACTTCCACAGAGTCTGACCTCTCCAAACTGGGTAAGGATGGTGCCTGGATCTCTCAGGTAATGGTTCAGCTGGAAAAGCTACTTGGCTAACAATCATTAGAATCATTAGATCATTAGTTAAAACTTCTGTGTGTCTGACAGTGTGAACTGTGTCCATGGGAAGGTGTGGGAACAGTAAGGGGGCAGACATGTATTTGTAACCCTGAGTCCTTAACATGACTGGAACTGTTCTGAACTCTTCACAGATACTAACTCACTCTTCATACCACTGTGTGAGAGAAGGCACAGTGGTTACTGCTGACTTTTAACTGGGGAAACTGAGTCAGCAATTGCTCAGGTTTATCTAGCTAAGAAAATGTATCTTCAAAAGAGAAGGTTTGAGCCCATGGCCTGAGTGTTGAACTCCCAACACACTTCCTCTCCAAGGCATTTTGTGGAGTCCTTTTCTTTCGCTGTTGTTTTAGTGGCACTCGGCGATCTGCCTGCCGAGGGAGAAAGAAATCTGACTGGGGGCAACTGTATATCTGCAGTTTCTTATCCCTCCAAGTCTCACTGCCCTTCTCAGCCACAAATAAACACACGGACTCTGTGTCAATTATAAAACGGTTGACCGATAGCTAGGGCTTCTTACTTACTAGCTCTGTCTTAATTATTAACCCATTTCTATAAATCTATATATTTCCATGTGATCTTGACTTACCGGGGAATTCCTGGACGTGTTACTCCTTCGGCAGATACATGGTGTCTCCTTTTGGAGGGTTCTCCTCCTCTTTTTCCAGCATCCTCCTCATCTCATAGCTCTGTCTGTCTTCCTGCCTCTACTAGCCAAACAGTGTTTCATTCATCAGCCAATCTTAAGAGAAACATATACAGAAGAACATCTGCCATCAGGAAACCTGAACCTTTTGTCCATTTCTCTCTATCCCAGCCCCTTGTTGATGGACAGCTGTACAGACACCTTTCTAGAACATGCCATTTAGCAAAGTGACTCAAGCACCACCAGATCCTTAACTTGGAAAACCCTGAACACTGTGGACTAAAGAAATGTAGAAAGTGGATCAGGATCTGGCTTGGTAGTACATGCCTGTAATGTCAGAATTTGGGAGGCTGAGGCAGGAGGATTATCACAACATCAAGTCAGCTTATCTCTATAAATATAGCTATTTCTGGGGCAGCCTGATTTACAATATGAGACCCTGTCTGAAAAGAAACAAACAAAATTATTTTGCAGGTTTTGGAGATCAATTAGTAGGTAAAGGCACTTGCTGTCAAGCCTGATGACCTTGATTCCACAGACCCATAAATGGAAGGAAACAGCCAATTCTCCCAATTCCCCCCTGGTTTTTGCATTTGTGCTGTGGAACATGGAAGACCCCCGCATACCATATAAACATAGACAAATAAATAAGTTTACATATTTTTCTAAGTTGTGCCTCAGAGTTGACCTGTCTTTTATATTACTCTGTACAGAGTTCCCAATGTGTCAGGGCAGTATGCAAACACAGAGATATCAGGCCGCTGTCGCTGAAGGTGAAATATGGAGAAGAGAAAACTGACCCAGAGAGGGTCAGGAACTTGCCCCATCTCATCTGCTCCCTAGTCAGTTGCAGAAGCTGAGCACACGCCCAATGTGGCCTGAGCACTGGATCACTGCATCACTGCCTGTTTAATCGGTGTGGCTGGAGAGCACGGATTGAGAGGCCAGGTCAGAAGGGAACTTGCAGCCTTCTCTAATTTCTGAAAATCCTTCCTCTTTTCCAGTTAAATTGATTCAGAACTCTCCCGATCTTCACGTTTTCCACCTGAAATGTGATTTCTTTTCGGATTTTGAGTCTCTCATGGCTGTGCTTGCTTCCTGCAAGAAACTCAGAGAGATTGAGTTTTCTGGACAATGCTTTGAAACCAGGCCATTTGGTAAGAACTGTGTAACTTTGACTCCAGATGCCCCTTTGCACAAAGTCATTAAATACTCTAGAGTGAAATGCAACTGATGTCACAGGAACTGTGACGGCACCTGACTTCAGTGAGTCTTTCACGGCAATGACATGTACCTGTGTCTACAGTGTGAACATTTCCCTTTCAGAGTTGTTTCCTCTGCCTAGTCATAGTGATTCAATCTGCATAGTACATCATCTTACATCACTTTGAGATGCTTTTTATTTCAGTGATATTCCTCTGTGTCACAGGAAATGTATCTGAACTAACTATATTTATTTTCCCTTTCCTAGTGGCTATTTTGCCAAATTTTGTTTCGCTGAAGATATTGAATCTCAGACGCCAAAAATTTCCAGATAAAGAAACATCAGAAAAGTTTGGTGAGTTTATAAAACAGTGTTTCTTGTTTGGTTTTTTGAGACAGGGTTTCTCTGTATTGGTTTGGAGGCTGCCCTGGAACTTGCTCTGTAGACCAGGCTTGCCTTGAACTCAGAGATCTGAAAAACAGTGTTTCTTAATATGCTCTTTCTCCTCCCCTTTCTCCGCATTGTCCTTCAGTGAACCCACTGCAAAGCAGGCAGTGCACAGCTGTCCCTTGACATCCACGGCAGCTGGGTCCAGGACCTCTGCTGATGTAAACACTAGAAGATCCTCCTCCCCATGATATAAAATGGTGCAGTGTTTGCCCATGACCCCACATATCCTCCGTATACTTTAAACCATCTCTCAATTGTTTACAATGCCTACTGCAATGTGACTGTGTTGTTCTGGGAGTAACGAGGGGGAAATGTCTGTACGTGTTTGGCACAGACAGGATTTTTAGAAGTTGAACCTGTAGCTGGTGGAAAGTGCTGATACAGAGTCAGCTGTACCAGCTGTGCTGGTCCTTAGGAGGACACCTTAGTGATGATGCTCGGTGTCATCCCCAGATGCCATCACTGTTGGTCCCACACGTGCCCACACTTGACCTCATTAGATGCAATGTTGTCAGGCTCACCGACTTCTTAGGAGAGAATTTGGCCACGATAGCATTGTGTAACTCATTGTCTGGCGTCCACTCCAAATATGCTTTGTCCTTTTTCAGTGGTTTCTGGAATATATATAAAAGCTTCTGTTTAACATTAAGAAAACACTGTAACTCAGATTTAACAGAATGATAGGTATAAGGAATGTTTAAATACTTTTGACTTAAGAAATGTTTATAAAAATAGTAGTTTTTAAATAAAAATTAATTAAAAATAATTTAAATAAAAATGATTATGAATCTGGATATGGTGGTATATACATTTAATTCTAGCACTTTAATGCCAGGGGAAGAAGCAATAAGATCTCTGAGTTTGAGCCCATCGAAGAATGTCAGGGCTAACAAAGAAACCTTGTCTCCCAAAACCAAAACCAACAAAAAAAGGAAAGGAAGGAAGAAAGGAAAGATGGAAGGAAGAGATGATTGTGAAAATAGTGAGTGTTTATGTGAAACACTAAAAGAGAACAGCCAGGCTGCTATGGGATAGGGAGCTCTAGCTTCCAGTTCTCAGACTTTACGGTGCATAAGGAGAGCCTGAGTTTCTCCTTGCTTCCTTCTTTTCCAGTTCTGTAGAGACAATGTGTGTGTATGTGGACGAATGTGCTTGCCACGAGTCCCCACCTGAGTTTTATTGGTGGGGTAATGGATGGCATTGTGCTCAAATAGTAGGCACAAGACCAGGCACCAAGAAGACACTGGCGTGTATCACACATTAATTGTGCAATAAGACCTGGAGTATAATGACAGCCTCACTACTGAAGAGAGAATTTGTAAACATTGAAAGGGGAGGGTGGGACAGCCAGATGGCACAGCTGCTAATGGTGTCCTGCCAAGCCCAAGGATCAAATTGATATTCCTGGGACCACATGGTGAAAGGAGAGAAGCAGTTCCTATAAGTTGTCCGTTGACCCCCTGCCCCCTGCAATGCTCTGTGGCATGTGGGTGCCAATCAACCAAACACAAACTTGACAGAAGTAAATGAGTGTAAACAAAAAAGAGACTTGCGAGGATGACAAACCCCAGGGAAAGGACACGGCTCAGGGTACACCAGACCTAATCAGGAGAAGGCGAGTGTCCAATTTCCTGTGCCCCGTCTGACAGCTGTCCCCATCTCATGAATGTATTTCCTCCTTTCAAAGATTTGTTAAATAATGTGGGCTGCAGAGATGCTCGGTGGTTAAGAGCACTGACTGGGCTTCCAGAGGACCCGGGCTTTAATTCTCTGCACACACGTACATGCCACACCTGTCTGCAACTCCAGCTGCAGGGGACCCAACACTTCACAGGGACACACATTCAGGCAGAACACCAATGCACATGACATAGAAATAAAAGAAAAATGTGTTAACTAGCCAGGTGGCGAATGTCTTTAACCCCAGCCCTCAGAAGGTAGCAGTAGGTTGATCTCTATGAGTTTCAGGTCAGCCTGGCCTACAAGGAGAGTTACAGGCTAGCCAGGGCTACACAAAGACAGGGAAAGTTAGAGAGTAATCTGGAATACTGTTTCATGTCAGAAAGCCTTCTATTTAGTTTCTGTGAGGCCACAGGAGGAGAGATTTAGTGGTCACATGATCTACGGAGTGTAGGCTAGGAAGGACTGGGTGGAAGACAGTCAGAGTAGTGGACCATGCTTTGATGAGGAGGGTGGATGTCCTCAGAGTAATAGCAGGAGGTGGGATGACAAGGGAGGGGGCTGAAGACTCTGTGCTCCCAGGAGAGTGACCTGCAGTAGAGACCCCACTTTAGAAGACAGAGCAGAAATGGAGAGACAACTGGACTTGTGTGAGGAGCCGGCTGCGGGAGGATGGAGGAGCCAGCTGCAGAGAGCAGTAGGGAGCAGCGGCTGGGAGCTGACCCCTTCTCTTTGCCTCGGAGAGGACAGTGACCAGGAGGGCCTCTGCTAGGTGGGGCCTTCTAGACTGCAGAATGTCCAGGTCATCAGCTGCTCATGAGGGGACAACTACTGAGGGTGGCTTTGTGGTGTCTCCCACAGCACAGGCTCTGGGTTCTCTCGGGAACCTGGAGGAACTGCTCCTTCCCACTGGGGACGGGATTCAGCAGGTGGCCAAACTGATTGTCCAGCAGTGTCTGCAGCTCCCGTGTCTCCGAGTTCTTGCCTTTACAGAAACGTTGGATGACGACAGCGTGATGGAAATCGGTGAGTTTCCTCAGGGAAAGCATTTCCCTTTGTGTGGAGGCAGTGGCAACATTGGAGCTGTCTGCTGCAAATGTGTACAGCTGGGAGTCTTCCAAACTGTTCCTTGCTTCTACTACCACAGAGTTTCCTCTCGTGTCCTACAGACTTAGGTTCATCCTGGTCAGACTGGGAAGGGCAACAGGTCTTATTTTAGTGGGGGTATAGAAGCCCTCCACCTGTGCTTTGTTTTCACAGTGCTGGGAATTGAACTCAGTTCCCCTTCCCCCATGATGGACCAGTGAATCTGTGTTCTGACACTTGGTGGTTCAGACACCTGGACAGATGCTCTGCTGTCAGCTGAATATTGACAGTACTTAACAAAGGTGTAGACCTGGATCAATTTCCCTGTTCACATTGCTGAAAATTTCATTATCCAAGTAAGTGTAGAGTCAACCAGATGAGGGCAGACCTTCACCAGTGCCCAGAATCCCGAGCTGGGTCTCTTCTCCACGCCATCCATGCCCTCCACAGACGCCATGGCACTGCTTTCTTTTCCAGAGGGTCATTTTCCTGTAGACTTTCATGAACGAGGATCTTATACAGTAGACACTGTTTTGTCTCTTTGGCTCAGAATATGTTTGTGCTTTAAATTCATAGTAACGTGTGACACAGCATTGACTTCACTGCTGTGTGTCAGTCATTATTTGACCATAACTACACTCTGTGTCCACTCATGGGCACTTGAGTTGTTTCTAGTAATTGGTTACTATGCAATGCTTCTAAGAACATTCTCATACAATGGGTTTAGGGATTTCTAGGAGTGGGATTTCTGAGTCACCTCACATATATTGATTAAAACTATGTTTTTGGTTAGATGTGTCACATGACTATAATTCAACACTTGAGAGGCTCAAGAGTTCAAGGACTTCCTAGTTCAAGACTAGGCCTGGTCGCATGAGGCTTTGAGCACAAACATTAAATAAGCAAAGGGAGATCCTCTCCATGCTGCTGTTCCCGCTTTCTCCCTCACCAGAGCTTCCTTCACATTCAGACTCTAGTAGGTGTTGTCAATCCCTTACAGTCAGACTCTGATGATTCTCGTGTGCCAGGAAAACCAAAGCTTTAGGTGAGGCGCATCTTTCAGATTGACCAGCCCCTGAAATAAAAAGACAGAAGAGAGGAAAAAGAAATGGGTCTCAGAAAGCCAGGCAGACCCCACCAAACCTAATGGAGGCTTGGCTTGTAGGCACTGCCCTGGGGCCGAGGAATTCTGGGAAGTAAAACACATTATCTTAAGGTGAACCCATTCTCCTAAGGGTGGTCTCCTAGCCAAGTCTCTGACATGCCCCACATGATTATCCCTTAAAGAGGGAGCTAAGGGCATGTCTCCACCTGGGGTAGGTTCCGTTCTTCATGCCATAACTAATCCCAGAGGGCTGTGGGACTGGAGCTGTAGCTCAGGAGTACTCATTTAGATTGTGCCAGGTCCCAAATTCACTCAATCAATCAATCAATCAGTCATCAAACTGTGCCTCCTTGTCCACCTTCCTTACTTCTAGTTTGCCTTTATATCTTCAAGCTTTCTATCTTTCTGGTAGACCAGTGCTCTTTGTGTGTAGTGGCACTTCCTGCCTTACACTCACTTCCTGTATATTAGTATAGGGTCCTGTATCCTTTTCATGTCTTCTTACTTTCTTTGACTCTTAACCTTCCTAGGCCCCACCATTTAAGATATATCTCTTGTACATTTAGCTGGTTAGGTTTTTAAATGCCAGTCTAGGCAGGAAGAGGTAGTGCATGAGTTTAGTCCCAGCACTGGAGAGGAAGGCAGATAGATCTCTGTGAGTTCCATGGCAGCCTGATCTACATAGCAAGTTCCAGGGCAGCATAGTGAGACCCTCTCTCAAAAACAAAACAAACTTATTTAGTCTGGCATGGAAGTGACTATGTCTGGAATCCCAGTACTGGGGAGACTGAGGAAAAAGACCAAGAGCTCAAGGTCAGCCTGGGATGCAAGAGCTCAATGTCCAAAATAATAATAATAACCAGTAGGTGGTGTGTGTATGTGTGTATGTGTGTGTGTGTGTGTGTGTGTGTATGTGTAGTAGATTAATGACCCTTTTCAGAAAAGATACATTTCTCTCTCCTTATGATTTGCACAGCATTGAATTTTATAGCTTCTCTCATAGTCATTTGATATAAATTGCTATGGACTTTCACTCTTTTCCAGTATGTTAGGTCAAAGCCTTCCTAGCAGATGAGTCTCATATAGGTTTGGCAATCAATAATCCCTGGCCCTCTCACACTCAAGAGCAGATCCTTTTTCCTCCTGGAAGCCAGCACTGATTGCCTGGGATGTGGTAGGAACTCAGCTAATAACTGTTAACCAAGTATGTAATATTTGCTTTTGGAGCTGGACATATAACTCAGGGGTTAAGATCACTGACTGGTCTTCTAGAGGACTTGGGTTTGATTCTAAGCACTCATACAACTGCTGCTCACAACTGTCTGTAACTCCAGTTCCAGGGATCTGCTGCTTCTTCTGAGCTCTGTGGACAATAGGCTTGTCTGTGGGACACTTAATATAACCTGCAGATAAAACACTCATAAACATAAAATCAGAAATAATCTTTTTTTTGGAGACAGGGTTTCTCTGTGTAGCCCTTTAGATCAGGATGGCCTTGAATCCACAGAGATCCACCTGCCTCTGCTTCCTGAGTGCTGGGGTTAAAGGTATACACCACTACCACCTGTCCTAGAAATGAAAATTTTTTTAATGCCCTGTGTTACTAAGACTGTTAAAAACATTATTTATGCCGGGCGGTGGTGGCGCACGCCTTTAATCCCAGCACTCGGGAGGCAGAGGCAGGCGGATCTCTGTGAGTTCGAGGCCAGGCTGGACTGATAGCCTCCAAAACAATACAGAGAAACCCTGTCTCGTAAAAACAAACAAAAAACAAAAAAACATTATTTATGTATTTATTTATTGAGACAGAGGCAGGGAAAAAGACAGGGAAACAGAGAGAGAGAGAGAGATACTGTGGCAAGTGTATACAGGTCAGATGTTCATTCTCTTCTACAGTGTGGGTCCCATGGATCAAATTCAGGTCATCAGGTTTGCCTAGAAGGTGTCTTTGCCTGCTGAGCCATTTCACTGTGGCAACAATGTCCATCTTTCAATGGACAACTGACAGGCTACTCCTGGCCAGTGTTTAAATTCATAGCTAGGAGACAGCACTTACACACACCAGAGAAGCAGGTAAGTATACATTGCGATATGGAGAATAAAGGAAACCAGGTGACAACAGGCCATGGATGAGGGAGGCCTCAGCTTTCCTCCAGTCCTTCCAGAAGAGTCTTCATTCAGGGAATAAGGAACACCCCTGACTGTCACAGAAGATCCCTGTTCAGGACACAGAGGAAATACTTCTTAGGGCCTCTGCCTTTAAATCAAGCTGTCACAAGATTCTGGGAGAAATCAGCCCTGATCTGTCCCTTACTAGGGGAAAGTGGGTAGAGGGCTAAAAACAACACAGCAAGTGGACTGGGTGTTCACTGCCAAGGTCATGGGTAATTGAGAACTCACCTTGTGTCTGACTCCATTGCCTTCAGAGCCCCTGCTCTCAGTAACTAGGGAGTCTCTTCTGGGCTATAGGTGGAAGGCACTGTAGTAGCCCGTGAGGGACAAGCTTTTAGGACTGTCTCCTTTTGTTTTCTGAGAAAAGGGAGACACTTGCCACAGTTTCTCAGTCCCTTGTACTGTAACATGTCGCACAGCCATGCCCTGTCTTGACATGAGTCCTCCTGTGAGACCAGAAGAGAAATTCACATTTCCCTGAGAGCCAAAGCTGTCTGTGCTAACTTCCTGGCTTCTGCTTCCTCCAAAGTGCTTGGAGCTTGGCTGGGTGGTTCCCTATCAACCAAGCAGTAGTTTGGTGCTTTCCAAGAATGGTCTCTATAACATCATGTAGAGCTTTTATTGCGTTGGGTGTGGGAGTAGTATCAATAACTTGTCACCATTATTGAAGTCCTTAGGATTTTGTTTTCATAAATGTTTTTTTCTAGCCAAAGGAGCAACCAGTGGAGGTTTCCAGAAACTTGAGACTTTAGACCTTTCAACGAATCACAAGATCACAGAGGAAGGGTACAGAAATTTCTTTCAAGCCCTGGACAACCTGCCAAACTTGCAAGTTCTCAACATGTGCAGGAGTATCCCAGAACGTATCCAAGTTCAGGCCACCACTGTCAAGGCTCTGAGTCAGTGTGTGTCCCGACTGCCCAGCCTCACCAGGCTTGAGATTCTCAGTTGGCTCCTGGATGAAGAGGACATGAAAGTGATTAATGCTGTGAAGGCAAGGCACCCTCAGTCCAAACGCTTGATGGTCTCCTGGAAATGGATAGTGCCCTTCTCTCCTGTCTTTCAGAAGTAACAGATGCAGGTGAAGGCTACTGGCAGTTCTAAATACCTACTTTCCTAATACACGTTACTCTTGCTGAGTTTCTGATACACAGCTGTATTTTCATCATTTAGGAGACTAAGGTGGAAGAATGAAGAGGTTCAGGCCAGTCTTGATTACATAGGCATAACTAACCATCATATTAAAGAATATTCATTAACTGTGTAGGCTGATGATTTTTAAAATCCTGAATACTCATCCCTGAACTTAAGAGCTATGATGAACAATTCTTGTACGGTCCTCCTGTCTAAAGACTAGAGCTAGTCAAGTTCATATCAAGAACCTTCCATTGCCAAGTTAACAGGAAGGGGCAGGGAAAGAAACATTGCATTGTGTAAAAGCCATGATATGGAAAGTTTGATGGAGGTAAGAAATGGCCAGTTTAAGAGTCAGTTCCACCCATGATGAAGCAGGAATTGACTTTACCACAGGATGCAGATGACTCTTTCTGGGAGATGCTCTTTAGTCTTTCTCAGACGTTTGTGCATTTTCCACACTTGGTGTGGCCATGGTGGCTTACACCATTTCTCATCCATTGCCAGTGTGAGGACCACATTAGGCTTAGAGAAAACTGCTTTCGTTCCAGAGGCTTTTCAGAGCTTTTCATGTATTATAAGGGCCTTAAGTTTTTCTTTCTTTTTTCTTTCTGTTGCTTTGAGATAGAGTTTCACTATGTAACTTTAAATGACCTGGAACTGAATGTGTAGACAAGGCCTACCTGGAAATCACAGAGATCTGCCTGCCTCTGCCTCCTGAGGTTTAGGATTTTTAAATCAATGTCTATAGATACATTAAGGATTTGTGAATATATTAACTTGACTATAACATTCAGTTATCATTCCATATGTTAATAAAAATTCTTACCTCTATACCTGTCTTGGTTTAATTTAACTGTTATGTGCTTTTAATTTGTCAGTTTTGCCTCAATAAATCTGGAGGAAAAAGATTTCCAAACACCTAAAAGTTTTTAAAGGCATAGTTATATCTGGGAAGTGAGTTGGGAAGCATTCTTACTTTTTTTATTTTTAAATTTTTTTGAGCTGTTACATTACATTTTTTCTCTTTTTTTCTTTAACTTTTTACACATGTTTCTCTCAGTTCCCTCTCCCTCTCCTCCTCCCCATCCCCCAATCCTCCCAACTACCTATCCCACTCCATCCCCCCTCTGCTCCCCACGGAGGGTAAGGGCTTCCAGGAGGGATTTTCAGGGTCTGTCATATCATCCTGGGAAAGGCCTAGGTCCTCCCCCATGTGTCCAGGCTGAGAGAGCATCCCTCCACATGGTATGGGTTTCCAGAGTCCATGTGTATGCCAGGAATAAATACTGATCTACTCTCCAAGGTCCCACAGATGCCAAGGCTTCCTCTCTGACACCCAGGTTCAGGAGTGGGGGGGGTGTTTGAATCAGTCCCATGATGGGCTCTCAGTCACCAGTTTGGGGTCCATGTGTTCCCCCTTGTTTAGTTCAGCTGCCTCTGTGGGTTTCGCCAGCCTGATCTTGATTCCTTTGCTCATCACTCTTTGAAACTGGGTTCCAGGAGTTCAGATCGGTTTTTCGCTGTGGGTGTCTGCCTCTGCTTCCGTCAGCCACTGGATGAGGTTTCTAGGATGCCATATAAGGTAGTCATCAATCTCATTATCAGGTGAGGGCATTTAAGGTAGCTTTAATGCCTGTTGGTGTCATTTTTGTAGATCTGTGAAGATTTCACTAGTGCCAGATCTCTCCTTCAACTTATAATGGCTCCCTCTATTATGGTATCTCTCGTCCTTCTCTCCTCTGTTCTTACCCTGGCTCAACCTTGGTGTTTTCTAATTATTCATTGTCACTACTGGTAACTTGGATGGGGCTCATCACAGGCCTCTAGTCTAGGAAACACCTGCTTCATCTGCCCTTAGGGCATTACTGCTGGTCTCCTCCCCAGAGAGCTCCAGCTCAACCCTCTGCTGCTTCTCTTCTATCAGTGGGGATCTGAGTTCTGCTGACTGTGTAAGTGCACTCCCTGGACCACCCCATCCAGCTGCACGGCTTTAAGTCCCATGCCCACACTGCCTCCTCCATCCCCAGCTATGTATAACAAGAAACCAGCACTACTGAAATGGAACCCTCTATGCTTTACTGGGTCAGTGCTGGTTAGTGAAAGAAATCGGTTGTTATTGGTAAGAGATCAGCATCATTGATGTGAAATCTCCTAAAGAGTATTTCCACCGTGTCAGCATGCAGAAGCTGTGGTCCAGGAGGCCGAGGCTGCACACCAAGTTAGCAGCAGAACTTGGCAAAGAATATGCAATTATCTTCCATATAGTGCTGGTTTTGAAGGCATGGAGTGGTCATGGCGAACAGTTGAGACCTAGCACCTTGTAGGGGGCCTGGAGTCCCTAAATGGCCACTGGTGAGGGTGCATCTTCAGTGTCAATGGAGACTGCAGCATAGAAGGTGAACCTTGCTATTCTGTGGCAGAACTGAAGCCCCAAAGAGAGACCTTTGGTGAAGGTGCTACTCCAGTACACTGGAGACCCCATATTAGAGACACCAGGACCACGTGAGCCCTGCCAAGGACAGTGGAAGGTGTGGAGTAGAGCCAGCCTGAGTCTGCCAGACAAACTATGAATGCTGTGAATGGCAGAGCCCGAGGAGCTGAGCTGCCTTCTGGATCCCAGAAGATTATGAGTGGATTCCAAATATTGCACATTGAACCAGTTACACTGTTTGATTTTTTTCTTTGTCCTGGTTGCCATTAAATGAATAAAACATACTATAAATCAATCATTAAAATCATGTGTTAAGTATTTTATTAAAATAATGGACTGGAGAGAGAGATCAGCTGCTGAAGGTTCAGGCTGAAACCTAAAGAGGCAGTGGGAGTTCACTGAGTTCTCAGCACCCAGCACTGCTCTTCAGCTTCCTGTTGTTGCCTGAGTGAGATAGCCCACACAGTTCATCCCAGAGCTCAGAAGGCAAAGGCAGGTGGATCTCTGAGTCTGAGTGAGATGGCCCACACTGTTCAACCCAGAGCTCAGAATGCAAAGGCAGGTGGATCTCTGAGTCTGAGTGCAGACTGGTTGAGTTCCAGGGCAGCCAAGGTTACATTGACCCTGTCTCAAAAAATAAACAAAAAACAATATAAAGAATTTCTTTGCAGCATAATAAAACCAGAAATTAAACCTAGCACCTTAGAAATTATAAAATTTAACATTTCTACAATAAAGCACACCAAAACTTTGGGTCTCTACATAATACACCTTATAGATGATAACTAAAGCACCACTCAGTGAAAACTATAAAATATCTACTTTAATAAACAATGGGCAGGATCCAGGTGTGGTGACTCATGTGTGTGATCCTAACAATTAGGAGGTTGTGTTGATACCACAGACACCAGGAGAAAAACTACTACAAATTATGGCCAAATCAAAGGAAGCTTTAATTGTTCATAGCAAAGGCCTATAGTTGTTCCCCCTGAGGCAGAGTTCAATAAATCATCTCTGAGCCAATTTCTCAAGTTCTTTTATAGGGAAAAGCCACAGGCTTGGAAATTCTGCAAGCAGAGTGGCTATAGAAGTGAAATGAAGCAGTTCAGAAAATCCCTCTATGATGGTTTGAATGAAAATGCCCTCCAAAAACACATAAGGAGTGGCATTATTGGAGACGTGGCCTTGTTGGAGGAAGTATGTCACAGGGGGTGGTGGGCTTTGAGGTTTCAGAAGCTCAAGCCAGGCCCAGTAGAGTCTCTCTCTCTTCCTGCTGCCTGGGGATCCAGATGTAGACCTCTCAGCTACCTCTCTAGCACCATGTCTGCCTATATGCTACCGTTCTTCCTGTGATGGATAACGGACTAAACCTCTGAACTGTAAGCCAGCTCCAACGAAGAGTTCTCCTTTATAGGAGTTGCTGAGGTCATGGTGTCTATTCACAACAATAAAACCCTAAATAGAACGTTCTCCTTAAACAGTGTGTACAGATCATTTCTGAGAACGGGTAGCTAAGGGGTTAGAGAAGGCAGCATGGTTTACAATTAGGCCCCAGGTAGGTCAAACTCTTTCAAAGTAGGTCAGGTTCCAGGAAACTTAAATTTTATAGTAAATGTAAAAACTGAAGTATTCAAAATGGCCCCTGATTACAAAATGGAGTCAGACTGAATCCTCAGCTGAGGCAGAGGATTGCCACAAGTTTGAGGCATTTCTGAACTCTACAGTGAGATTCTGTCTCCAAATATAAAACCATACCTCTAAAACAAAAGAGAACAGCAGCAGCAACAAAAACACCCTAAAAGAAACCAGGAATTAGAGAAATTAGGGGGGTAATGTGGAGAGTAACCTGCGATGGGATGCCAGTCTGACCCAGCTAAATTTTAGAGTTGTTTTTTCTGAACAGCAATAGCTAATTGTAAGAAGTAATAATTTGCTTCTTTTCTTAGAACTTTCCCAGAAACAAAGAAGATTTACTGTTTAAATCAACTAGAATCTTTTTATTTGTTAACAATTACAATGACTCTTTGGTTGGATCCTATTCTAAATGAAAATGCCCTTTAGTGGTGTGGTCATCCTTTATCTTGAAGTTCTCATTATACATCCTCTCAGGGTTCATTGCATTTCTTTTTCTTTACCCTCCACCGAGTTTTTCTTCTGTTATAATTCATCGTAGGAGCTGGTATCCGGTGGGCTCTGAGTCCCTCGACTGACTATGAGCCTGACTTCAGGCATGTGGAGAATAGAAGCAGTAGCCACACCGGCTACTCATCTCTGTAATCCCACCATTTGAGAGGCTGAAGCAGGAAGACCACTTTAGGTCTGAGGACAGCTTGCCTAAGTAGTGAGTTCCAGGGCAGACTAGGCTATAGTAAAACTAATAAAAAACACGCACTCCCTCACCTCCGCAAAATTTTTAAAGAGGAAAAGGCCGAACATTATAGGCCCCATGAGCCTGCTGTGTCAATAAAGATAAATTTAGAAGTTCTGCTACTCCCTCTTTGCCTTCTGGGATTAAGACCTGTAACACCACACTTAATTTGTGTGGTTCTAGCTTCCAGCATGTCAGGCAAAAACTCTACCAGCTGTGCTACACCCTCAGCCTAAGGAAATTTTATGTAATTGGTATATTTGCCAAAATTGTAGAATCGTACTTAATGGTCAAATTGTAGATGAATTAAAACAAAAGGCAGTAATAATAAATAGTAACCATTTTTATTAATTAGCATTACAGTCAGCAATATATGCAATCAGGCAAGAAAGTGGAGTTATGTAAAAGACAAAACTCAGTGTTCTAGATATTTATCTAAAAAGGGTGAAGAGAAATACAATCAAATAGACCACAAAGACTCTTGTACATTGTCATTGCACACTTAAAATACAGAGTATTCTTTTAACGTCCATTTGCAGGGGCTACAAACATCTACAAGATGCTAAAATAAAGGTGACATTATTAGACACAGATATAGCAATACTATTAATGAGAAGTAAGTTTCACTGGGGAGATTTTACAGATGAAAGAGTCAGCAGTATAAGGAGACTGTCTGACCTCTGGACTTCCTGTGGAAGAAAGCACACTGATGAAGAATGAAATTGTACCACTTACAGGAAAAGGGAACTGGTATTCATGTTAAGCAAAGTAAGCCAGACAAATACTGCATGCTTTCTCTCCCTTGGAATCTAGACTTAAAGAAGTGCATGGTCATGAATCAGAAGACTACAGAGAGAGAGGAAGGGACATGGAGGGAGAGGAAATGAGGAGAGAGAGAAGGAACAGGGAGGAAAGAAAACAGTTCACATTTTCTCATGCAAAATCTAGTGTGTCCCCCTATGCACGCACACATGTACACACACACACACACACACACACACACACACACACACACACGAGTGTGGCACAGGA